CGATACTAGATACGGAAAAGGGACTTCATTTTACAATGACTTTATTCTTATAAAGAGATACTCATATAGAGCAAGAGCCCACGACTGCCAGACATACGTCATTTTAGTAAACGTGAAAGTTCTTGTATGTGTGTCCCCAACACAGGAAAGAACGATCCCCAAACATGAAACCTGGATCGTGGTTCCTTTGGCAGGTACCAGGTAACAAAGGTGTAAAAAAATTCATATCAAATTCGTTATTTTAAGAAACTCCATATTTTCGTATGATGTTCGTAGCATTATTATAACTTGCGCTGCTCATTGCCAGACACGTAGTGTGGTCCCAACCCCCCGCCGGACCCCCCTAAACTATACTATTTTAGAAATAAACTTACGTCATTTTAATAAAGCTGAAATTTATATATATTATTGAGAGTTCTCTCAAACTGAGTTTCCTAAATTGCCAGACAGTTTTCTTGGTTCCTTATTCCACCAGAATCATTGAAACCGTATATTGGGTAACAACGGTGTATACAATTTCATGTCAAATTCGTTATTTTAAGATGCTCCATTTTTTCACATATTGTTCGCAGCATTGTTATAACTTGCGCTGCTCATTGCCAGACACGTAGTGTGGTTCCAACCCCCCGCCGGACCCCCCTAAACTATACTATTTTAGAAATAAACTTACGTCATTTTAATAAAGCTGAAATTTATATATATTATTGAGAGTTCTCTCAAACTGAGTTTCCTAAATTGCCAGACAGTTTTCTTGGTTCCTTATCATACTAGACTCATTGAAACCGTATATTGGGTAACAACGGTGTATACAATTTCATATCAAATTCGTTATTTTAAGATGCTCCATTTTTTCACATATTGCTCGTAACAGTATTATAACTTGCTCTGCTCATTGCCAGACCCTTAGTGTGGTTCCAACCCCCCGCCGAACCCCCCGAAACTATACTATTTTATAAATAAACTTACGTCATTTTAATAAAGCTGAAATTTATATATATTATTGAGAGTTCTCTCAAACTGAGTTTCCTAAATTGCCAGACAGTTTTCTTGGTTCCTTATCATACCAGACTCATTGAAACCGTATATTGGGTAACAACGGTGTATACAATTTCATATCAAATTCGTTATTTTAAGATGCTCCATTTTTACACACTAAGGGTCTGGCAATGAGCAGAGCAAGTTATAATACTGTTACGAGCAATACGTGAAAAAATGGAGCATCTTAAAATAACGAATTTGACATGAAATTGTATACACCGTTGTTACCCAATATACGGTTTCAATGAGTCTGGTAGGATAAGGAACCAAGAAAACTGTCTGGCAATTTAGGAAACTCAGTTTGAGAGAACTCTCAATAATATATATAAATTTCAGCTTTATTAAAATGACGTAAGTTTATTTATAAAATAGTATAGTTTAGGGGGTCCGGCGGGGGTTGGAACCACACTAAGGGTCTGGCAATGAGCAGAGCAAGTTATAATACTGTTACGAGCAATATGTGATAAAATGGAGCATCTTAAAATAACGAATTTGATAAGAAATTGTATACAATACCCAATATACGGTTTCAATGAGTCTGGTAGGATAAGGAACCAAGAAAACTGTCTGGCAATTTAGGAAACTCAGTTTGAGAGAACTCTCAATAATATATATAAATTTCAGCTTTATTAAAATGACGTAAGTTTATTTCTAAAATAGTATAGTTTAGGGGGTCCGGCGGGGTTGGAACCACACTACGTGTCTGGCAATGAGCAGCGCAAGTTATAATAGTGCTACGAACAATATATGAAAATATGGAGTTTCTTAAAATAACGAATTTGGTATGATTTTTTTTACACCTTTGTTACCTGGTACCTGCCAAAGGAACCACGATCCAGGTTTCATATTTGGGGATCGTTCTTACCTGTGTTGGGGACACACATACAAGAACTTTCACGTTTATTGAAATGACGTATGTCTGGCAGTCGTGGGCTCTTGGGCTAATACCCAGCATTGTAACACTAGCATCGGTTTTTTTGTGATGAAGGAATGGTACATCCCACTACGCTATACTGTGTACGATGATTGTGCACCAATGAAAGAAAAAATGAGTATGAAGTCAAGTCGGTTATCCTCGCATAACGGTTTTTCATGAAAAAACCGTGATGTCATTAATATTACTACCAACCCTCTACACTGACTTGGACTGTTTATATAGTATTAATCCAGGAGAATGAATACAATATTCACGAATTCTTAAGTTTTGCTTTACGTTGAATAAAAATTAGAGGAGGACTCTTGTTTTCTTATATGATGCTAATGTAGAAGTGGAAATGTATGATCAACTTCGAAGGCCGTGAAACTAATCCCAGACTTTTCCATTAGCCACATCACTAACAAGTATATTACTTTGTATTTTACAAGTGGCCCTCCTCGGATTCACCTGGCTGCCCATGTGCCCACGTTGTGAGTTTTGTGTATATTTACAAAGTATATATAGTCATTTTATAATAATGTACCTTTTAAAGAATAAAATAATTGATTATATCGATGAAGTGCTTCCGGTGTTTTTACATTTCTCATAATAAATTATACTAGTAGTTAAGGATAAGTGAGCATCATGGTAATGTTTGCTATATCTGTCTACGGGACGTAAATCACTAGGGCCAAAGTTCAATATCTTTGAACGGTGACCACTTTCTGTCAGGAGGGACACTATCTTGTTTATTCACTGCTAGTAATGTAAAAATAATTAAGGAAGTTTCTGTTTGTTTATAACTGATATGCGGTGTGATATGATATGCGGGTCTATTTTCTGTATAATGGCCTCTGCAATTTACACTTGTGTTATTTGTACCAATAGACAATTACATTTATAGACGCCTTGTTTTACAATTTGTTACCGTAATTCAACCATGTTGCATTTTGTTGTTGTTGTTGCATATTTTTATAGTATTTTACAAGACTTAGTTAATAATTTGGATGAAGCGTCGGTGATAATTAAGTAGTTGTCCTATTTACTACATTATCTAATCAGTATCTCTGCATTAGCGCCTAGTTATATGGCTACAAATAAATATTAGATAAATAGATTATTATTATTGAAGGTCATCCGCCTTTAATCTAAAAATGGGGGTTAGATTAAAGGCGGGCGGCGGTAAATCCATAGCAGTTTTAATTTATTTATTTTATACACCATCGTACCTATGCTTTACTAATACTTACACTCCCAAAAATACACTTAAATGAAATGATTATTTATGACACTACGTTTATATTAAGTCCATTGTTCTTATCAAATATATTTCACACTAGCTGTACCCGCGACTTCGTCCGCGAGGAATTTAACTTCAATTTTCGAAAATAAGTTTTTTTCTAAAATAAAAGAATGTTACTCATTATTACATCAGCTACCTGCCAAAGAAAATCCCGTCAAAATAGGTCCAGCTATTTCAGAGATTAACTGGATCAAACAGACACACAGACAAAAATAGTAAAATATGTTATTTTGGTTAATGTGCCGTATTCATATTCATATGCATGTAGTAAAAAACGGTTATTTCAATATTACAAACAGACACTCCAATTTTATTTATATGTATAGATAACAAGAAATTTATACAGCTTTACGACCTACACTAAGTTTAAAAACCTATTGTATGGTATTTTTTTAATAAAACACTCGTTTAAATATAGAATAAGTATATTGAATAATTAAATAATGTTACTTCAAATATGTTGCCAAAAGACTTATATGTGTAATCGTAAAATTAATATTAAAAATGTTCTAGAGGTCAAAATATGTTGAGTTCGAATGGAAACATACAATCTTATACATATATGGGTATATTGCAAATAGATAAAAATATCGTATGCAGCTTACGGTATTGATTGACATGCGAACCTGAAACTTGTCATCACAAAGTGTTTTATAACAATATTTGTTTGCATGGGAGGAGCTACATGTTAGGATCGACACCATGAAACCAGAAATCGTGCAAAACAGTCTATCAATTTACTAATTTATATTATCTATATTTTATAATTACAACCATTTGCGAAAACGGAGCAAAATGTCTAGTGCTATATATCAATAAATATTATTATAATGTATGGGCACTTCTATATTAATGCAGGATGTCATGAAACAATTTTAAGACATACATATTTACGTGAAAGTCGATCCGATATAATAACTGTGTTGTTTTCAGACACCCTGATTTCTAAATAGGACTTCACATTCGACTATTTCAGATTTCTTTCAGTCTTACATCCTGCAATGTGAAGTTAGTGGACAGCGTACACCAATAACAATGGCGCGTAGATAAAACTGTTTGTGTATTTAATAGTTTATTTAAAAAAATATAATGCAACTGTTGGAAAAAAAATTTGGAGGAATATCGTACATAATTTTTTTAATATATTACATATTAAAAAAATTATATACGATATCAAACAGTAATTCTTCACTGTACCTTCTGCAAATGAGACAATATGTATGCTATTATTAGAACAATAAAATTACCATTCTATTTTTATTACGTACACTAATAAGTAGCCATTTCAACACTGCAATGGTTACATACTTTAATAGGCGGAGACACCACACTTACAAAGTGTAATTAAACTACAAAATTCAGATGTATAAAACAATTATGCATCAATTAGAACTAAATAGATTTGCTATACTGTAAATCTTGATAACTAACAGACTGTGATGTGACGTAGTATTCAGCATTTCCTTGAGTATTACAGGACAAAAATATACAAATTTTAAACGGCTCATGTCAATCGAGTCAACATCGACTTGACGCGCAAGAACTTGTGTTTGCAAATTACAACTAAAATTACAAGTACTTATTACTACAAGATGTATGAGTGTCAATTTAAGTACAATATTTTACCATTTCAATAAACATTCTATTAAATCATTTCATTCAAGATATATATTCTTATCACCGTGTTATATATATATATATATATATATTAATATTATATTATTTTAATATTATATATATATATATATATATAATATTAAAATAATATTTAAACAAGTGTGGAACAGACATACAAATAATTTCGTCACATCTAAAGTACAGGGATATATGTATGTACTATTCGATATAGGCACTCGTGGCTCTACGCCGTCTGTAAAATCTTACCATGAACCGAGATATTGCAACACTTGACTTTGTTGTATACATCAATCACCAGTATGTCCAATCCACATCGTGTTAAGGTACACCTCATTTCGCCGTTATTGTTATATAATATATAAAGTATCTCTCTTGAACAGATAGCATGTCCATACATAGGTACAGTTTTAAAAATAAATTACAAACGGATATGTGATGTCGATAATAATATGCAAATCAAAATACCACAACACTCATTAGACGGCCCATAAACTTGCCGAATACAGGCAAATTACAACTATGAACATGCATTAAAAGACTAATTAAAATATGCTCCGTACTAACATTCTATATTTACGAAACTAACGATATATTTACTTCTTTTTAATATTATTAAATACGCTTTAAAGTGTAAAAATAGTTTTTTCCGACAAATGTCAAAGCACTCTTTCGTTATATGGAGAAGTGTTATGCTCTCTGACAAAACTATACCAGAAATTGTTAATAATGCCCAACGAGCAGAAGCAGAAGATGTATGTACTGCAATATCTAAATGTAAATATGTATGCAAGTAATTTTAGACATCTAAATAGGAAACGCTGCAAACACAAATATGTATTATGTATGTAGATGCAGATATGCAAAATAATCATGGACGGCAAGTCATTAAGAAACTTATATTAATAGAAAACGATGCACTCTCTTAAATATAATCTCTGAGTGCGATGTACTTAACTTTAAAGATTTTTCGACGAATGATGCACTCTTAATAATGAATTAATGTTTACTATATGGTTTGCTCGTTCGCCGCACATAAACTAAAGAAAAAATTCAAAATATAATAAGTATTCCAAAACATGTGACGATCATTTTAGTCATGGTAACATTACACATCGCTCTAATTTGACTATTCAATATATTATTTATGTCAACTTGTAAGGAGTCCATTTTCTTATTGTTTTATCCACTTATAAAACCCGTTTCTATTTGTACCGTCAAACCATAATTTTATGTGATGCAAAACAGAAACCTTATCTTATTTTCAATTTCTTTGCGGCGATAACGTTGAACTCAAAGTGCATTATTAACGAGTTGGTTACAGCAAAACTGTTGTGCTAAATAATAATAGACCTTCAAATTCTTGTAAATACTCTAAAGAGGAATACTATTAAACCATATCATACTAGATCAACACACTCAAGTGAGGGTCGAAATAAGTTAGCTTTCATCCAAACTGCACGAACGTCAATTTATACTAACTAGCATTCTAAAAATTTACTATCTACTGAATGCCGAAAACATTCACACTTTAATGAATGCACATAAACATCTATTTTATAAAGATATTAAACTAAAACTACTAGACGCCCGTCTGGCAACAAATGCCTCATTCCAATGTCAGATTTATATACTATTTTAGGATAAACATTGAACATCTTGCCTATTCTAATGCCTAGGGAAAATTACACTAAGAGAGGTGACCTATACACACCTAGGACACGAACGACACACTGTAGATGCCGTATGTAATCTGTTGGGTCGCGATCACCTTCAATTTCATAATTGTATATTATTTTAACTTTAGTGACATCATGATATTCAATCTGTATTTTTGGCATAGCATTGATTTTGGCACTCAATATTAATTGAAACGAAATAGTAAATAAACTTCTTATTTACATAAATATATGTCGCATATATAGTTTAAACAATGCTCAGTTTGAGCAATATTGCACAAAATTTCTAGCAAAACCATGAAACAGACTTTAACAGACTAAGCTCAAGGATGCTATTACCTGACTGATGATCACCATTTCATAATAGTGAGTACTGACAAAACTTCAGCGTCTCTATATATAGCGTAATTCAATTAAGCTCATACATCCATGAAACTAAAGCGACGGAAGATGTGTTGACTCTGTATTCTTCGGAAGAGATGCAAGCCAAGGAGTGGGACTTTAATGGATATTATTACATGTTGTACTATTATCACGACCAATTATCATATGTCACCAAATAAAAATAATCAGATAATTGTTGATCCATTTTTGTTTTTTTAATCAATGCAGTCTTCAAAACATTGCAAAAATAATAATAACTTTTTCTACCTAATACATATATTCAGATGATCGCAATCCTAAAGGCAGGAAAACGTTATAATACTCATAACAACAATTCGTTGATGGATTTGTAGATCATATATGATTTAAATGTGGTCAAATTCACATTGATTGTTTACTTATTCATATTTTAATAGGATACGCAAACCTATAACTGCAATTTGCTGTAAAGGCACGAGCGGGTGCGTTTTACTTGCTCCAACGACATATAAAATAGGCACGATAAGATCCCGCGGTGTATATCACTTTATACACAACATACCGTACTTAGTTTGAGCAATTTGATGTTTTATATGCAACAACTCATATCAATACCTCCATTGCACATACACTGCAGGAATTGTAATATGTAATACCTCTAATTTGTATATAGTTAATTATTTATACTGAATAAAAATACGATGCGTTACAATAACACGACGCATATAATACTTATAAACTCTCCATGTATTTAATACAAATATGTTGTATATTGTATAAAACGCTATTACGATATCGATTAGATAGCTTACGTTCTTTATTAATTACTTTTATAAAATGATATTTTAATATTGCTTCATGGTTGGAAGATCTTATTTAATTTGTATTTTATTTTACAGACATCCTTAACATATTCCAATATATAGTACACTGGGACACAAAGTTACTATTATATATAGATAATGTAAATAAGTCTATCTGACAATGGAATGATCTTCAGCAAATATATTGGGTAAAATAGCAAATTATGTCGCCATTCAAGTTAATATTAATTTGTTTCAAATATGATACACAAATTGCACTTTAATGTAGTAGATAGAAAGACCTGCGATCAATCATAATACAGCAGTATTCAAATTCACTTCGTCTCAGTGTCGTCACCATATTCCAAAGATGACTAATACTTATATAACTAGTAATGGAATTCAAATTACGGGGCGCTTGTATTTGTTGCCAGCGTTCGCAGATTATAATCTATTATATTATATATTTATATCCGAAGGCTCTCAAGATGCTACTTTGCATTACAATATAATAATATTATATAAACGTGTAAATAAAGTCACTATAGTTAATCAAACGCACGTCTACATTTATATCCGCAAGACGTACTACATAAATATTCGTGAAACTGCAAATTTCGACAAGAGAATATCAAAAATAGTATATCGACGGTCATCGCCTACATTCTGTCTAATATTCTGTAGTCTAATGACACTATTTAGGTCACTTGAAACATCTTAAGCCAATACTCAATAATATGGACTATTGTTATAATTTTGAAAAGTCAATATTCAATTTTAGATAATAAAGTGTGTCATGTCCAAAGTTGCAATTAATTGTAACGCGACAACTTTATCGATACGACATGAGAGTGAATATATAATAAATTATCAAATAACTCCTAAAATATACTTTTATCAATATAGTTGTCGGTTTACATATTTTTTTTCTCATTAATATAACCATATTACGTAATCATTACATTCCAAACATTAAGCTTAATACGTTAGCGTAATATACCCAAAAACTTTAAAATACGCACAATACACTCTCCGTAAATATAAACGACATTTTGCTCTAATGCAGAAAAGAAATCAATAAAAAAAATTATACTAAATGAAAGGCTAAATAAACTATGAGCGAAGTCAATATTTTCTAGACACTTACTCATTAACACATGACAAGAGATCTTTAAAACAATTCGCTAATTAGACACTGGTTTAATTAAAAGATATACGTAAAATATATACTTAGTGGACAAATGTGCCTTATGTTTTATGTATAATAAAACATTTAAAAGAACTAAGAAAGAGTAGATCCAATGGTTACAATAGTCAAAGTCATGCCAAAATAAGAAAACCAGTGGCAACAAGACAGTTTGGGAGTGACTAGTATGTCCATTGTTGATATCTGGTGAAATTTTGTTTCCTTTTTATTTTTTAATTTTGAAGAAGTATATAATTTATTCGATCGAAATTTAAAAATATACTTCGTTTAAAAGATTTTACATGCGTTATAACACACATTGTCCACGGTGCATATATTTGGAATTAAGTAAACTGTCACCGCTATTCATGTATACTGTAGAAATATAAAATCAGTACTCGTGAATTTTAATAATACCAACAACGTAATAATAACTGCGACAATAACAAAAAAAAGTTTCAAAATTCAAACTAACTCCTTAATACTATAAGAAAACTAAACGAGCTTATCCGAAGCCCCACTGGTATCTGACGAATTCACAAACTGACTAGCCAATAGTACAGTCGAGTCATAAAGCGGACGAAAAACTAAGATTTTGTGCAAATACACAATAAGATACTTATATAAAGAATAAATAAGAAAAAAGTCATACAACTAAGTCGAGATGTCATACCGTACCAAATTAGTGAAATGTTGCTAAACTCCTTTATTAATCAAGCAGCGATAGTCTTTAACTGTCTTACAATAGAACTCTGATTACAACCAAATCTCAGACTATTTAAAGCACAACCTTCAATATGAGCTTAGATCCTCTCCGTGTTAGTGATAAAAAGGAAGTGAATGGTTCGTAAAGTGAAATGGATGAATTACAAATACAATATTTACAACTTGAGATCTAGTTTTCGATGATGGATGGGTGTTTGCCAACGTCCTAACAACTCCGCATTGGTACACTTTCTATAATAGGTACTCGTATGTCAAAACACAATCTTACAAGATTATACCTCACGCACATTTAGGAGTTAGCAACATTTTTCAATGATTGTTATTATGTTCGTCTGTTTTTATTGAGATCGATTACCCTCTAATCGAGATAAATTATTACTAATAGAGGTACTTCCTTCGTTTCTAATAAGCGAATCCGTTGTGATATTTGTAATAAAAGTGTCAATATATATTCTTATATATCGTATGCACCGTATGCACGGCGCCATCTTCACATTAAATTCTTATAAATCATAACCCGTATTTTCTCTAATGCGTTCTTATAATCAGATCGTATGATTAAAGTACACAAGAGATAGATGCTAAAACTGCTACATATTTGTGACAGAAATGTACTGTCAAGAAATAAGACGGCTCTGGCCGACCGGATCCACCTCTGTTTCACATGTAAGGATGTAGTAGATAAATGAATGTTTCTACAATATATAAAATGTTATATCTTATTAATAAATTGATATTCAACATTCATATTTCTATAATCTAATTGAATACCTCTGCTGAGCTTCCAGCTAGCATGGTTAACATTGTGTATATTAATAAAATAACATCCTTTATATAGCATCAATAAAATAGATAAATATTATTTACTACATCCTTAAGCCTGCGTTAGACATAGCCTCAAATTTGCAAATACTACAGTGAAGTTATAAGAACAAACATTTGCACTTTGCAATGTGCCGTATTAGTTGTTCGCATTATAAGGCGCTCAAATATCTAATGAATACGTCAATGCTACACACACAGGTTGCGTCTTTGTTTTCGCTAAAAGGTCTAATTTAAGGTTAAGGTTTTCAAGGGTCTTCATATTCGCGCTTTTGAAGAGATGTCTAACGCTTGGGTTACACACAGACACCAAGATTACAAATAACACAATTTATAATATAGTTAGAGAGTGTGTAGTTGGTATAGGAGCCGGTATCGCGGCCAACGCCTGTAGTGTGACAGTTTGCGCGCGGAGCACCGCACCATACAAACTATCGGCTGCCGACGTCATTTGCCGTTCGTCTGTAGAGCCGCGTTCAGTTGTGTCCACAGATCTTTCTTGCATGATTTTGACCTGAAAATTATTCTTGCTATCGACCACTGGGTATGTACGAAGCGTATGAGCTAACACCATACTCACCACATGTGTATTGATAGTAACCTACATTAATTCTAATTCTAGTTGTTAAAGCCAACATTGTAGCCGTAATTTTTGCTAATTGCGTTGAACAGGCGTTATAATTTTTATTGTTTGTATACCTTCGTGTTACTCGATATTATTATGTACTTTTTTTACTGATTCTAATTGTTCCACGGCTAGTTGCTATTCTAAATTTATTGTTTGTAAAAACCAAAAGGCGAAATTAAATGTATTGTTAAACTGTGCATCAGACTTTGTTATTAACAAATACCATTGTGTCCACTACGAGACACTAGTTTAGCGTCAAATACAGCGCCTTGTAGCTAAATTAAGTGAAGATTATTTTGCAGTATATTAAATTTACAACATTAAACAACATGTTATTTTCAATACCAAATCACGCGCACATTATTATGCTAAAATACTAGAAATTAAACATGGATCCTTATAGCCGGATGTAAGAACTTAAATTTGAGCTAAATGAAAGGAAGAAAACAACAACTTTGAAGCAAATATTTTGTTGTCAATTATAGAAAACTGGATTGAATAGATCTGAATATTATTTACACCCTTTTGGTTAGATTTTAGTATTACGACTAATCAATAAGTATGGGTTAACTAACCTGCGCAGAGACGCGAGCCATTCTTTAAACTGTGTGTTCCCTTCTGGTGTTAATTGAAAGGCTGTACGCGCAGATAGGACGATGCTCACGAATTCTTCGTACTCCACTGATGTCAAATGATACAGCTTTTGATGAATGCACTGGATGTACCTATAGATATATAATACAAAGGATAGCATCTCACTTAATTACTGCTGAAGCTATCAAGCTATGAATAGTAATAGTGAAGAAAATGTGGGGAGTGTCATAAGTACTATAAGTGTGTGAATGTTAAAATATGATACAGCATGTATATAAGTAATAATAAGTATATCATAAGTACTATAAGTGTGTGAATGTAATAATATGATAGCATGTAGGACAAGAAAATTGTGGTGCGATGAGCACTTTAATAAATTGAGTGCAAATTAAAGCACTCCCAGTAATTGCCAAGCTTATAACCCACTTGATAGAAAATTATACACATGATAGCACATCATAAGGTGTCATGGTTCAATATGTTGTAATTTCAGCCTTCAAATACCCTGCCCATGACTTGTCCGCTTCGGTAAAACTTTTGCATAGGTAATTTTTTCTCTAGGAATACTCTGCTGTGTGATGTGGGTGGTAGGGTGGTAAGGTAGGAAACTAACATCTGCTGGCACTTCTGAACGAGCGGCGCGAGCGTGCCGCGCAGGTGTTGCATGACGAGGTGGTGCGGGCCGCCGCGCGCCAGCCAGTGCGCAGACTCCACGCACAGCTCGTACAGCACGAACGGAGACACCACAGAGTTCACCGCGCACACGCAGAACTGGTGCAGGTATTGCGCGCCCAGGTGCTTAGAGATGCGCAGCAGCCACTTCACGTGCTCGCCGTACGGCGGGTTTCTGAAACGTTCTCTGCTCGGTTATAGCTGATAATCTTTAATGGTTTTATAGTTGTGAATAAGAACGTCACCAACATCAAGTAAATATCCGGATATACTTAGTATCAAATAAAATACACACATCGAGAGTAAATAAGTAAGAAAGTATCTTTCTCTGTAAAAATATATCAAAAACTGTGCTAGTTGGAAACATTTTCTGTAATATTTATATGTATAGCCTTTATAAACTGCGACAATTTTAGATCGTCTCGTATTATGGTGATACAATTATGTGACAAAATAAAGGAGCAGTCTCACCTGCCGAACTTGTTCTGCGGGCGGTCGTCGTGCACGCGGCGGGCCTGCGTCTCTAGCGCCAGCATGCCGACCCTGTAGGCGGCCAGCAGGCGGCGCAGCTGCGCCTGCGGCAGCGGCGGCGGGCCGGGCGCGGGCGCGGCCGCGGGGCCCACGCCGCCGACGCTCACGTTGGCGACGCTCACGCTGCCCACGCTCACGCTGCCCACGCTCACGGTGCCCACGCTCGCGGGGTTCACGCTGCCCACGCCCGGCGGCAGGCTCACGTTGGCCACGCTGTTGTGGCCCGCCGGCATCGGAGGCGGAATCGGCGCCGGGTGCTGTGCAAAACCATCGTTTATATTGGAAGGGAAGTGATCGTTTTGAAGTCACAGATGACTATATAAGTTCGGCTATGTAATCTCTGAAAAAATAAAATTAGTGAATGAAAACTTAAACACCATTATATAGCGATTATTGCCACTCCATACACTGAAATAGCAATAGCGTGTTGTTCATAGTTATCGGTATTCTATGCAATGATTATAAGATCCCAGTATAAGAACTAGCTGAAAAACCCTTACCTGTTTTACGTTATAATCTTGTGTTAGTAAGTAATATTGGCCCCATTGCTAGCAATGTAGGTCGACCTCCACACGATTCCCCTGGAAGTCATTCAATTCGGCACGATAATTGACAATATTTTGTTGTCATTTCTATATTGTGCATTAGTAATTCGCCAGCATAAATCAGGCGGAATCGATCAAACTACCTATATCTTGCCCACTAAAATTATAAGACATAAAGATATATGTCTTTCCCACGTCGCTGAAGCTATATGTATACCGGATGATTATTTTTACCGTGCAGAAAAATATGATATATAAGTAAAAAACTACAATATTTCTTGACAATTAACTGAAAAATATGACACCAGTGATCATAAAAACAGTTTGTATGTACATACAATATAATCGATTCTGACATTTTCAGAGAACAATAGTGCTTCTATTTTATATAACGGAAACATTGTGGTATTTATCGGCAAGAAAAACCATCCAGTATTTGTAATATAGATACAATGTGTAATGTGTAATGTTTACGTTGTGTGGTAGGGCGGGCGGGTGCGCGATGTGCTGGGGGTGCTGGGGGTGCTGCGGGAGCGCGGCGTGCGGCGCGGGCGCCACCAGCCCGCGCACGAAGTACGGCGGCAGCGCGTACTGCCCCGGGTGCGGCGCCGGCGCTCCCCCGTACTGCACACGTAAACGACCGGACTTCATATGTGCCTACACTTGGTATATTTCTGTCAACACTCGCCACCCTTTCATTAGTTTGCATCTCCACATAATAAAATTAGATTTAAGCCAGTCCGCATTACGACTTCGAGTCGATACGAGTTTATTTGTGTTTATTAGTTAACGTTAAACGTTCGCGCATATAAACTTGCCAATGTAGTACACTTGTATACTCAATACCTAGATACTACCGAAAACAAATTGATTAAATAGCGGCACCTCATAACATCACAACAGTGGTGAGATGATTATCATCAGGGTACAAATACCTCAATAGACCACCGGAGTTTATACCAATTGTTCTTATGGGAGCGTGTCATTATCTACATTTATTCAAATAAACTTACATTGAGAACGAGCAAGAAACTTGATTTACTGCTCTTTTAATTATTTAGTACAACTAAACACTTTCACGTTTTTAAGTTGAAATATTTAAATAAAAACTTAACAACTTCAGTCAACTAAAATTGCGTCGTACCTGTAGTTGATATATGTGCGGCGGGTAGGGGTGGTATGTGAACGGGTAGGGTATGGGGTAGGGCACGGGCAGCGCGAGCGGGTGCGGCTGCGGGGCGCGGTAGTGCGGCTCGTCGAGCGGCTCCTCTTCGCTCGCCTGCCGCATGTACAGCTCGTGCCAGTACCGCGCCACAGTGTACAGCACCTCGGGGTACACGCCGCCACCTGTAGGCGACCACGCATATATTATCTCTACTTTTTGATCACAACGATCACATTTAAAGATTGGAACACGAATTTAAGAATTCGTGTTTACTACGTATGTCGAACCACATTCGAGTCTTATCTCGTTGCAGTTGTAGTCGGTCAGTTACCTTTGGCCGCGGCCTCGACGGTGAGGCAGGCGCGCTCGAGCATGGCGTCGCTCTGCTCCTTGCACTGTAGCACGGCGCGCTGTATCTCGTTGTAGTTGAGCGCGTGCGCGTGCGGCAACACCGACAGCGCCAGCTCCGCCGCCGCGCGCACCGTCGCCACGTCGCGTCCCGACGACGCCTGCGAACCAACACACGGGCTCACTCTACAACACGGCTCTAAATGTATCTCATGTTTTTGTGTTTCGGGTATTTAAGAGAAGGGCTGAAGATCGTGCCCAGTGGCGTAGCTCGGGAGAGGCCTATGTCCAGCAGTGAACTGACGACGACGATGAGGCGCAGCCTTTACACGACGACCTTCAAATTCTTTCAAGATTCATTCAAGCGCGATCGAGTACGAGCGCGATTTAGCGCATGCAAAATGTATTTTACTATTTTTTGTGTTCACTCATTCACAAAATACACGTTTCGTATCATTTCACTTGTTTTTAAAATTTTGTTCATTACACAGATTTTATTTTTCGAAGATACGTTTATGATTTATAAAGTTTCAATGACTGTACAATTGCTTTTTATGGCGTCAAAGACAATGCTTTAAATTTAATAAAATCTTATCTATCTGATAGAATACAGAAAGTGAAGGTTAGCAACGCTGCGGCGACGAATGACTAATAATTATGAATGTAAATAGGCTACTTTCGTAAAAAAAATAATGATACGCACATAGTATTATTTGCAGACGATACTTCATTGATTTTTAAAGTTAATAGAATGACTAATAATTATGACGATGTAAATAGTGCTTTGCGGCGTCTCCTGCAGGACTCGAATTTATAGAATCCATATAACAAGAGAATGCTTGAAAAGAATGAACAAGCGCTTAAAAATATTAATAATATATTTACCTTATCAGCAATACCAGCCGCTTCCGGTGGCGTTAAATGTCCTTCCCACGCGTCTATAAGGAATAGAATTGCAGGGGCACCTATATCCATCGCTTGTCCTGTAACAATGCATATTACCATTTATTTCTAGGTAGTCATACTTATGGGTGCAATCCATTAAGAATATAACTCACCTGTGATCCAACTGACATGTGACGAGTATGTGCGACTTAACCAATTTGCACTAACGCAATTATGTAGACCCAATGCGTATAGACCGAGCTGAAATGCGGCCATGTGTAAACCTCTGAAAAACAAAGAAAAGGTTATATACGTAATAAATATTGCAATTCCATCAGCATTAACCTAACATAAAAACTAGTATAGGTATGTATGTTTTATCAGAACGAATTAAGTGAATATACAGATAGAAAGATATGTATAATTGTATACATGTAATAAAGATTTAATTAATTATTATCTGTGCATGGAAGATATATGAGAAAAACTATTATAGCGGAGATTTAGCAATGTAATAGAACAGAAAACAATGATTGTTAGATTTGCGCGCTAAGCTCAGAAACGGCTTTCCAGACTTGGATGAGGGTCAAAAATGTTAAATGAGGTCGCGAGTATAGCTAATATAAAGTATGTGAAATACTATTTAAAACATAATAAATAGTGTTTTTATTACCTGTGAGGACCATGATGTTCTCTAGCACAAGATGTTTGAGTGAACAGACTGGTACTAGATGAACCACCTGCTTTAAAAAGCACTGACTTCGCAAGTTCAAACATAAAATGCGCCGAGGCTTCCGATGGTTGATTCGGTACGGACGGGTAAACACGTTTCCCTTTATATCTGTAACACACAAATTCCATACTTTATGTAACAAACGAATAAAATAAATACATCTAAATGTAGTAAATGCATTAGGGTATATTTTTTATACATTTATAACTTTTAACGATACAACAAACCTACGGATTTCAATATAAAGGAAATCGTCATAATCGCACAAATAGAAAAATAAGTAATCATATTCTGTACATACACCACTTGCGATAATCGCTAATCAATCACATCAGATTATTCCACTATCAGCCTATTTCCTTGAACAGAATATAAAAAAAGCATTATGACATAATCAACCCTGTACGTATATGAAACAGGTATGTTCCTGAAAAATCATAGGACAATAGCAAATTTACAAAATGGGACCCAACTAAACTAAGAATGCCATCGTATAGAACAAACTTGCATAAAATTAACTCCCATGTCAGCACCATACAAATATATAATAAAATGCCGCATGTAATTCAAGAGACGCCATTAAATAGGTATAATATAGAATTACACCAATAGCTTGGAAAAGAAAGCTGTTATTCTTTGCGAGAATTGACATAACATTTAATAATTTAAACTTCGGTTGATTAATTTGGAAGTCATTAAGAACTGTAATTTACATGCCTCTTGAATATGAGGCGAACATTTATACCTAAGCACTTGTAAGATCTACATACATATACTGTAAATGTTCAAGTAAAAAAATTATCGCTATCTCTCTCGAACCTGGAGTCTTTTGGTCTCGCGAGCTGCGTGTGCTGCGTGTGCTGCGAATGCTGTGGATGTTGGGGGTGCGGCGGATGTTGTGAGTGTGATGGATGCTGCTGATGCGACTGGTGTGGATGCGACGGCGGAGAACCACTACTGCCTTCAGCTACCACCAGCCGCTCTAGATCCGTTACCAGGGAACACTGCGGTTGCTACATCAGACATAAAACAATAACTTTATTTATCGATAAACTTAACCTAAGATACAGTTTATTTATAACATCAGAATACAGTAATATCCATCGAATGGATTATCCATTATCGTGGAAGTCAAACTAAGTGAATTTAACATTTGTACGGCATCATATATATCGTATGTATATACCACATATTTACGCCAATGTTATGAAGATAACGCTACTGCTTCTACTAGACATTACTGTTCTTATATATTGTTAAATTTTTATTACCATCACCACTCCTTAATATCCACTAGACCGGGCATCTCAGCTATATACTTTTATAGCGCCATCAAGTGGTCAGTCAAATTCAAAAAGGTTTATCACACACCTTATAACATTGTACAATATATTATTCCTACTTGTCTAGATTGCATCACATACATATCTTCCACATAATTTCAATCATTATGTAAAGTGTTTATTTTTATTTCTAATACTGCCAGCATAACAAATTATCATTAGCTTGTAAAATTACAAATATAAAATATTTATATTAATAGTTACTAACCTGTGGAGGTAGGCACGGCTGCGCGTGCGCCGGGTGTTGTGGGTGCGACGAGTGCGGCTGGTGCACCGGCAGCGGAGGCAGCTGCGGATGCTGTGGATGCGGCGGATGTGGCGGATGTGGCGGATGTGGCGGATGCGGCGGATGCTGCGGATGCTGCGGAAGCTGCGGCAGCTGCGAGTGCTGCAGATGCTGCGGATGTGACGGTTGCGGAGGGTAGATAGAGGGTATCGGAGCATCGGGCCGGTATGCAGAGAGTCGCGGGTTGGTGGTGTAGTACATGCTCACCATAGGCCCCTTAGTCAATTGGTGTATATCGCGGTCCAACAACTGCAACAATACATTTTTTAAATGAACATAATATTATGGAATCCTCCTAAATGACAACACAAGAAGGGTACTGGGGACGTCACGCGATGAAGTTAAAAATATTTCTTATAAATTGAGGTGTAATGCTAATAATTGCAACATACCTTATTCATTATCCTGGCCAACTTAACAGGTTCATCTTTGTAGCAAGAGAGCAGTGTTAACGCTAACTCTCCGCGTTGGCGCCTGGTCCCCTCACACAACAACGGATGTTCCGCTTCAGACACATTCGCCTTCAAACCTAAAGCCGCTACGGCTGCTTCGAAACCCAATGTTTCATCGGAGGGTACTCTTGACTAAAAATACAATAAATACAACATAGTGTATACTGGAAATATAAAAAACTAATAATCATTAAATTTTATATATAAAAACATAGAACTCACCTGCTGTTTAATTTCTTTTTCCGGTACTGATAACACAAGTACATCGAATAAGAAGCTCGCTAATGCAATAGGCAATAACGCTGGACCACGATTCCTATAAATAAATGAATTTATCAGTACGGACTCAAAGTAAAAAATAAATAATAATATTTGAACTTAATTACTGTTTTCGGTTTCAGAGAATTAACTTCTTAACTATTACTCGGAACTATAAAACTCAAATCTTTTTTGTAAATACATACATAATATCAGTCAAATCATACAAATAGTTATACTGGACGAGAAATCGAACCTACGATCATCGAGAGTAAAACGGTGTCCTAAACCGCAACTACACCTAGGCTGTCAATTAATTTATTTCTCACTTGATTCTTTTTTATCTAATCAAAATCACAAACAAGCTTGGAGTCTCCTACCATCCCAAAAGTAGTCCCTGACATAGGCTATATATAACAAGGTTCAAATCAGGTTTATAACTCATATCTTTAAATTAGAAAAGTAGGAAGAGCTATTTATTTTACACTTGCCTTAGTGTGCCGTCACGAAGTTGTTCAGCTTTTTCGCGAGCTAAAGCGAGCTGCTCGGGTCCTGTCGGCAGTTTCTTCAATAAAGCGACCAGTTCAGTTTCTTGATTGTTCAACTTCACTTCTAAAGCCTTCGTACTGGCGGGTGGTCTGGCCATCTCGAGAGCAAATAAGCCTACTCGAAACGCTAATTCATGATGTTCGCTGAATTCCGCAAGCACCTGAGTAAATTTATTTTGTAATTAGTATTCCTGTTTAATATTCGAGATATAATTTCCCTATGTAGATAAAAATTTATTAAAAATATTTATTTAGAATAACTATGTAACCAATTTTTATGCAGTTTAACTCAGTTGGTGTTATATTTTAAAACGATAGAAGAATAGTTTTTTCCGACAAGTAAATTTCAACATTTTTCAAGGATTTAGATAAAACTATATTTATCGTGTCAGCTAGTATGAATTACCTATAATATTGTAATATACAAATAAAAACACTTATATACAATACAGCGTTGTGCGTATCCCTCGCTATCCATAATTTGTACGTTGATATTTTTTACTGTATTTTCACAGAAAATTCAAAATGCTTTGTATTCTTACGTGTGCTACTTAGTGTAGTGTATATGATCTCATTTTTAATAAGCATTTGTGCATGTGTGTGTACGGGAGTGTGTCGCGCTGTACATATCACCGCAAATATCACGCATGTGTGTGCGAGAGAGAGACAAGTACTGACCGTGCACAGGAAGGCGCACTTGGCGAGCGTGGCGGAGGCGAGGCAGGAGAGGCGGTGCGAGGCGGCGCACAGTCGCGGCGAGGGCGCGTGGCGGCGGCGCGGCTTGCGCGGGTCGTGGCCCGCGCCGCACGCGCCCGCGCCCAGCGCCGGCGGCCGCGCCAGCAGCTCGCGCGCCAGCCGCGCACCTGCACCACAGTACATCCCCCTCGATGTTATACCCACCCATTCCTCGTAATCATGACCTAACCAACCCTTAACTTATTTTTAGTCATAAAAAAAGTTACTATGTGAACTACATATTTTAAATGACTCAAAGAAAATGTAGGTTTTTCAATTCAGTAGTAACTATATTTAAAATTTGTTATCTGTTGCAAGATAATATGATGTTATCGGTTAAAACGATATATAATCATATTAATATATAAAGGTGAACTGACAAAATTTACATTACAATATTTATCTTATATACTAAATCACAATAGTAAAATGTAAGAACTGGATACGGTTTACAGCTTCACCGGACGAATGCAGATGGTACTCCAAACCCACGAAAGAACTTATGAAGAACTTATTCGTATTTGGATTTATAATGGACGAAGGACAGTTCGGAGGGGATGAGTATACGTACCGAGTGCGCAGGCTTCGCGCGCGTGTCCGTGCGCCTGCAGCCCCTCGGCGCGCGCGAACGACACCTCCCAGCCGCACTCCCAGCCCAGCGAGCCGCTCGCACCGCTCGACCCGGCGCTCGAGCCCGACGCCTGCACCGAACAAGTTATTACACACCTCCACGACTCATAACAGACATACGATGCTTTTACACGACAGATTTCTTCACGCGCGAGCAGCATTGAAGGATTTAGTACGGGAAAGCCAGCGCGCACGATCGTGTGGGCTTGCGTTTGTATTCACGACAGTTTCGAGTCATTTCACTTTTTTTTTAAATGTATTTTTTATAATACAGATTTTATTTTCTAAAAACACGTTAAGATTTATGAATTATCAATAACACTAGATATAATTATGTCTTTGCTCCAGGCAATTATCATTATATATTAGGCGATAGAACGCGATTGAAAAACGCGGAAATGCGCAAGCTTTTTCCTCTTTGTCTACATTTACATTCGTTCCTGCATGTAAGCCGATTCCCGTGTGAATGAGCGTACGTGTAAAGGCAGCAATTATCAACAGTCGAATTCGTGGTGAACGCACCTCGAAACATCTAAAATTCATTTGGTTTGCTACTAATATTACTTTTTCATACCAGTCCTGTAAATTAAAAAATGTTTCAGATATCCCACACCATACTATCTCATGCTGAACACTCACAACGGCTGTCCCAGAACTGCCTTCTCCTGATACAGCGCGGCGAGCAGCTGCAGTGTCGTAGAAGTACAAATTGCAGTCGTCATCTGACACAGAGTCGTCATTCGATACCCGACGTTGAGCGTCATCGGACGACACGGGCGGCGAACTCGATTCTTGTGAATCAGTATCACCACCACTTTGTTGAAGGATTTCCTCTTCGTTCTCACAGAAACCTAAAAAAAACATGTTTTTTTAAAGTTGCAACAGTTATTGTTTCTTGTATATCAGAATAAGTTCTCCATGTATGCGTTGAATGTAAACAAGCGAGTGTAAATTAGGGGACGGGTTAACGTCGACCCCAATCATACCATTATCGAAAACTCACCTTCAGATGACACGCTAGAGTGATTTCCATCACTTGGACCAGCATCTCGTGCTGGTTCACTCGAACCTTCCCCAGAACCGCACGCCTGAAAAGAAATATGAAATTCTCGTTTAAAGTGTGGAGTATTACAAAATAATTGAACAAAAGGGAAAGGCGCACTTTCCCTTTTGTTCAATTATTTTGTTGTATTTGTTGGTTATTATGAATAATTATCCACCTTTTTATATCAACACATCTTTATTTTTTTACTAATCGAAACAATGAGATAATATCCAAAAATATTTATTAAGTACTCACTTGACCCGAGGGCCCGGGTATCGCTAGGTTCACATTAATGCGATTTCTATGTACTAATGTGCAATGACCCTGCATTGATGGATCAGGGTTTGTCAGTCTATAGCTCAGAGACATCTCATTGTTCAGAACGGCTTTAGATGAATTAACCTAGAAAAATATATTATTATTATTTTACTGTTACAATTTGTTTATTAAATACAATATTTATTCTCCGTCTGTAAATTGTATAATTTTTTAAAGAAAATTAACAATATACAAATACTTTCTAAAGGTTCATAGAAACAGCAAGGTCATGTACAAGTATAGCAAATAGCAATAGTAAAAAATAGAAAACCTTAAAACTTTAACCTTAAACCTTAAAACAACACAACCAGAAAACATAAAAGTCTTATGCTTTACATGTCATAAGTAAAGCAGAAGACTTTTATGTTTTCTATTTTTACATCTTGGTACTGCATAGTAAAAAAAATAAATGAAAACAACCAAATGCAATAAAAATGCTTTTATGTTTAAATCACTTCAGAACCTATTAAATAAAAAAGTTATACTAACTTGATGAACGCTGTCATTCTGCTTATCAGCGTGTCTGAATATAGTAAAAGGACTGTGATATAACGGGTTCAAATCCTTAGTATATGTCACTCCTGGTATCTGGTAGTCATCCCATTCCAGGAAACATGCTTCCATTGCAGGATGGAATCCGGGGAATACTTCGTTCTCGCTAATACCATTGATGTATGGTGGATGGGAGTGCGAGCGGGTATGTCGTGGATGTGATGACGACGTAGTGGTGGTAATAGTATGGTTGTTACGATTCTTTGCCACCTAATAAAGAAACAAGTTCTGTTATTGATGATACAAAAACTAAGTCATATAGTTAACAGTTTAATTTGAAACTTCATTATATTAATGACATTAAAGTTATTTAAAATACTTGTATTTGTTACAGTGTATTTAGTATAAAGTTTATTGTTTATGAGAATTATATATGGAAACTGATTATTATCTATGCAATCAATTGTCTCTCTGTATAATACAAATCGCATTAAAAGAAGTAGAAATAGCATTGTAATTTTAAAAGTTATAAAAATGATCTCTTTAAGCTATTTTATCTGAATATAATCTATCTTTCTTTCTATAATAATAACCCAAGACAATTCACTCGGAGCCATCAAACCCAAGCTAAACAGAGCTTGTGTTTTTAGTACTAAACAACTAATATAAATACTTACGATGCTTTCTTTTGTAAAGGCATACATAGTATAGTCAGAACACACGCAGACGTAGGCAATTGAAAATAATTTTCATATAGAACATTCTTTATCAAATTCAACTGACTACTTCAACTAAGAAAAACTGACGCGAAACTCAAGTGGTACATATTTTAAGTTATCAGTTCAGTTTCACGAATGTTAACAAATTGGTGTACAATGGTAATTCCATAACCTTTTTGGATAAAATCTAACCTAATGTTCCTCCGATTAAACATATTTCTTATAGCATAAATCATGACATTATACTCTAACCAATAAATATAAACATCACCTATTGACGTGATATCCGTGATGCAATTCATGTTATTCGCGACGTTTCCCACTTGGGTGATGTGTTAGTAGGTGAACAGTTTGATTGTCATGCCGTTTATATAATAAAAAATAAACACTACCAAAATCACCAACAAATGCCATCAATAACTGTCATCTAGTACCCACAAGTAGTTCTTACCTTATCAAGGACTTTACTATGCCATTGAGCAAATTGTTCATGGAGTGTATCGCGTTCATGAGGCGCTAAAGCCGGATTCAATGCAGCAAGGCGCCATAACACAACCACCTGATAAAATAATATAAATTTACATAATTAATTGAAATTGAAGTTAATATTTCACAGTACCCCACACTAAATTATGGTTTAAGCAATACAAAAATAAACATTGTTATCCATGTTGTATCAGTTGCAACTTAATCAAACACTAAATATTTTCAGATACTTTATGACTAATTAATATAAAAATTATTTAATTCAAAACATTAAAATCGGAATTAAGACCTAAATTTTTATTATACAAAATTATTTATTGTTAAAAGTGCAATTATGTTGAACATAGTTATTGTTACGTTTGTAATCAACAGACATGTCGAAAACGACTATTCAGATATTATTAATATTATTAACGGGGTCGTAACACGAACAAATTTTATGGCAAATAAGAGTAATAACAAGTTAAGACCCGGTTAATAATATAAATAATGTATATTAAACTCGAAAGTTTAAAAATGACTATTAAGACACTTTTAAACTTTGTGTCTTTTTGTGTCTACTGTCTCAAATGACATTCTAAGGAATACAAATAACAATACTTCTATTTATGACTGTGGTATAAGTGATGTATATTTGCCACATACCTCGTCACACAGCGAGGAACAAGCGTGCTGAGCCGCAGAGTTCCCCCCGCCGCCGCCGTGCTTGCCGCCCCCCGTGCCGCCGCCCCACGCCACTAACGCTGCCTTGGTGCTGTACCACCACACTATAATCTGTTAAATAGATGGTAAAGGGATTGTCAGTGTACGAGCATACAAGTACTTTCTACACCTTTAGATCTTGTAACTGTCCTTCGTAAAATTCTTATATAACGCTTGTACGCATGACAAGTGTAAAATTGTATAAAAGACCTAATATTTTAAATAAATCTACACTTTTATTCTTTCTAACTGGATTATTAGAAACTCCCAGATTCTCGACGAAATGGGTCATATACCTGAGTTCCAAGGGAGCGTATACATACACCTTAAATTAAATTAGTAATGCGGACTAATAAACCCATTGCTAGCAAAGTACCACACAGTCCTCCCTGGAAACTGGAGGATGATAAAATGAGCATGAAGATAGGCCAGTTAGCCCATTTACCATGATGGGCTAACTGGCCTATCTTCATGCTCATTTTATCATCCTCCACTGGTGTCTCGTCATCGTAAACCGTTAGTACAGGTGGGAGCATAATTCCATTATAGTCCACAAAAAAAAAATGTGAAAAAGGAGTTACAGAACTTAATATAATAGAGGGGATTACAAAAGTAAAACACAGAGGTAACGATGGGCGGACCTATGTATGGGGTTAGTTGTAAAGCCGAAAGCTAAGTAGTATACTCATGACATCAAACTACTGTCACCAAAAAAATGGAAACCTGAAAATATTTTTTAACTTTTCATACAAAATTGATAACGCGACCACGCAGTCTGTATGAAGATCTTAATTTATTTTATTTTATTTTTCACTTTAATTCTTAAGGATACTATTAGGAGCTTTTACTCATTAATTTGTTTACCTGTTCGCACGCCATAACTTCTTCAGTAATGATTTCTAGAAGTGGTATAGCGTTTCTGTCATTGCGTTTGAACATCTCTCTGACGATAGATAGTAGGTTCCACATGCCTTCTGGCTCTCTGCCACGCAAAGGCCGTAATAGCGATGACCACTCAGCCGCTGCCGGTGGAGCGCTTGTGCTCAAATAATTTACGTCACTAAAATAGTTGTAGAAAATATACATATACATGGTCACGTCTGTCTGAATTACAAATTCTACGATTCACGGATATTCAATTTTCATTAACTACTTCATATCAGTTCGCCGCAAAAAAGAAAGACTTCTAACACTTTAATAGAAAAGAAATTTGTTCACGCTAAGCGTATTTCTTTTGAAGTTTTGTACGTAATATAAAATGAGGATAACATTTTTAGGCTTTACATTTTTATCTACGTAGGTACCTAAATAACTACCTCAATGAATTTATTTAATCTTCTTAATTCTTAACATACGGGTTATACGACGTCAAATATAATTGCAATCATAAACCAACAACTATTTCAATCCAATGGTACTATGCAAACAAAATGACCTTCATATATGCTGGGGTCAGAACAAGTTCTAGTTCTATTAATCATTTAAATAGATTACAATACAATACCCACCTAAACACTATAGGTGCTGGAACACAAAACTTTACTAAGATCTTATTAATATTGTTGTGCAAAGTTTTCTCATCAAGGAACCATGAGGTGTACTCGTAGGCCGAGGCGCCCGCGGTCGGGTCTGGAGCGCCACATGTCGTATTTATGGGATTTGGTTGAGCAGACAATAGTTCGTCCAGTATCCGCTGGGCTGTTGGTAACACTTGCCGCGGCAGTTCCGATATGAGATATTGCGCGAATTTCTGTAACTGGTCTCTTCGTAACCGTTGAAGAGATTCTGATACGGGTGCTCTCAAACATACTTGTGTTGGCTAAAAATAAAAATATTACTTAATGTGTGGGTAACCCCATCATACTGATTTTTCAGAAGTGAAGGTTTTTTCTATTTATTAATTATTTTAGGGAAAAATAAAATTAATACTAGTATTAATATTCAGTTGATGGAGTTATAGAGTGGAATGTTTTATTTCCTTTATATGATAATTATTAATATCGTATTAGGATAATTTATTCAGATATTTTATTAAGTGCATACCTACAAAAAACTTATACTAGACATTAACATACTAATTCCTTGATTATTGTTAGATCTAATATGGCTATAAAATGTTACCACAATAACAAAATTTGTTTTTGTTTAGGTTCTTGTGATTTTTTTATAAGCTGTGCTAGTAGAACAAAGATTACATTTTTCCTGTAATGTTGATATAACTATTTTATCAACTGCCTCGATTTTCGAGTGTTTGTTTATCTATTATACCTCGCAACATTATTTCAGCATACAATACAACTCAAAGGTAATAATGTTACCTTATTATGAATCATAAAGTTTCACTGTATTCATAACATTAGTCATTAAACATAATTAAATACAAGTAACTATAAATAATTGTTATAGTGCAATCTTGTCATATTTCTTAGGTTAATAGCAATAATATAACTCATTATTGTGAAATATTTACAAAAAAATCCTTAATATAAATATGCTAAACAAAAATGGCCTTATTGCTTAACGCGATCTCTTACAGACAACCTGGGCGATCAAAGCTTTAAATACTAACGTTAACAATTTAATTACATCACTTAAAATAATACCCCTGTTATACAATTTATGTGAAGAAAAGTGAACTACAATAATAATATCAGGAAAAAATATAAGGGAGAGATATAACAAAACATATCAATGTTTCAGAGTATCTGCAAATTATTACTTACCAGGTGTATTCTGTAGAGGCAAACTGACACAATATGGGAACACCAGTGTGCCATAGATGAACATGTGCAATTACATGATGAAATCCTTTGTCTGTCAAATGTTACTGCTACATTAAACTGGGTACGAGGCATGGAAAGTATAACTGTCGCCGACAAGTGGAAGCCTAGAAAGTTAATGATTTTAAATAAAACCATGAAAACAAATATTAATGTTATTATGACTGTTCAGCATATAAAATTATACCTAGATAGGAATATATACTAACTTTATCACATTACATATTACATTTTATCTTATAAATAATATAATTGAAACTAAATTACGAGTCCATAGTATTTGCTAAAGTTATAAAGGCTGTTTCCTCATTTTGCTCATTATTCACTTAGGACTTTTCTTACAAATTGACTGATTCAAAGCCTTCATTAATTACACAATCTAATAGAAGTATTTACATAACATTTTAAATAGAGACAATAAATATTAGTCATGTATATGTTATTAGTAATTCTGCACATCAGTCTCTGAGTCAACTTGTCCCTTAGACACATAAGCCTCCTTCAGCATTTTCCATATGATCCTGATACATAAACTTACCAATTTGCAGTACATCTTTAACAGCCCTGTCCCTGAAGAGATGTTCTCCTCTCTGGAACTCATCAGCTGAGCCGTTTGCCAAGCAAGAATACAGCCTAATGTCATCTTCACTGTCAGGGAAACTCCAAAATGCAATTTGTAATTGTAGTTGCTCTGGTACCGGTGGATATACATGTTCCACAAGCTCGAATGGTATATGACAAGCTACACATTTTGCTGCTAACTCACTTAGGGTGGACACAGTTTTATCTGAAAAGGTTTAGTTTGATTATGTATATAGTTACATAATTTATCAATCTCAATCTGTACAGAAACATTCAGTTTCTACAACATTTTGATGATGATGATTCTAATAATCTTTAAATAGTGTATTGTTTATAAGAATTCTAAAACTGTACATTGATTAGATTTTTTATTTATTTTTAGAAATGTAGCTTACAGGTAAAGTGAACCTACAGTTATATAGTGGCCAGTAAACTCTATATTACTGTGTGTTACTAATATAAATCAGTGCAGATAGTATCAAATTTTTATTATTATCTGTTCATGTCCCTCAATTATAGATTGAATGGAGCATGGAATATATTTCATGTACTTATCTATATTTTCATACTTTACTGATATACATATTATGAATATATTTTTAAATTGATACCAAACTTGTTTCCTAACAGATTTATTCCAAAAAATTGTAACATTTATTTGCTTCTTTCAGGTAAAAACCTTTATTAAATATGCGCAGAATTAAAATTGTATAGACACCAAATCAATATATTCAATTATATTATTCAACTAGCTGTCATCCGCATCTTTGGTTGAATTCAACATTTTTATTAGGCTTTTATTTTAGAAATTCTATATATATATATATATATATAATATATATAATATATATATATATATATATATATATATAGAATTTCTAAAATAAAAGCCTAAGTAAGTCCTTACAAAATAAGCTATTTACTAGTAAAAGTCTGATCAGAAATGGTTCAGTCTGAAACAGTTCAAAGACTAGCTGAAACAGACAGACACAAAAAACATTTAACTATATTTTTGATGCAAGTATCATACTATCATAGACATTTAGTGAAAAGTTGTTAATTTGAAATTACACACACTTTATTTTTATTTATTTCTAGAGAATTAATTACTTAATATTGCAATAGAAGCACTATATTTGTATAAATGACCTAAATATTATTATCTATTTAATAATAATATTTAGGTCATTGATAACTTTGGTATGAGATTTTCAGTATCTTCAGGCATCTTTGAGAGACATGCAATATTACTTATATTAAAATATTTTGGCAAACTTAAGAAAAAATAATTACAAAACAAATTTTATATGGTTTTAGTCAATCAGATTCCCAGTTTCAATAACATATACATCCAAAAGAATGATTATGTTATTTTCATGAACATTCTTAACTAAAACTACTTTCTAACCATAGGTTACAAGGACTAAAAATACATATGGTTGAGGTATTTTTATCTCATGTGACAGAATAATTTCTTATTCATATTCATGGCCTTTTTTCTGAATTCATAACTGTCAATGCCAAATTAAATAACCTATAAAAGAAGACAAAAATATGACATGAACAATATATTAGTACTCAAATGATGAGTCTGGCATTAGCAAAGCCATCCACATATATGGGTTTCATGACAATTATTTTATTGAACATTATGTCCATTTCTAATATTGCAACACAACATTCTAAAAATTATCTTAACTAAAAATACTTTTATTTGTATATATGGGATTTAATTTTCATATGTAATTTATTATTAGATAAAAATTTTGCATCAAAAAGATTTAAAACATTTAAATCAAATTCAGAAAATTAATGTAATTTATAAATAATAAAATTGTTATATGTGTAATAAATATAAATGTCTATAAAAACCATACACCTATTATTGTAGTAGGGAAATTGGACCATTTTCTCATTAGAGAATCATTTTCAATTTGTAACAAGTGAAAGTTGTGAAAGTAAAATACAATTTACAATTTACACATCTCATATATGTCATATGAAAATTTCAATATACAAAGTGAAACAACTCAACATAGACAAAGCAAGTCACATCAGAAAAGGGAAGGGATTTTAAACATAGGGTATTATTAACTGCTTGGGTCACTACAAAGGTAAATGACTTTACAGCACCTGTTCTTTGTACTACAACACTATGAACACAATGTACCTATCATATAACACTATCTATAGAATGTCACATCAATGCTATCAATGAAAATATGAAGGTAGAGCTGTTATGTCATCAAATTATGAAATAAATTAGGCATATTTATAACTTCAGTTGATGCAAACCTATTAAACTATGTGATTAGTCATATCGTAATTCGAAACAAAGGATCAGCTGAGTCAATTACCTTGAACGGTTTTCTTATTAATTCGTGGTGCAAAAGACATCTGAAGATTTGGCCGCCTCCATCCTCGCCAGTTGTTACACAAACTCTCAGGTTCGGAGCTCCAACTACACAAAGAGTCTTCTTCAAAACGTTCAGAGTCCTCAAAGCTGAAATGATCTCCCTCTTCCCAGTCGAGCAAGGGAGACCCCACGTCGACTGGGGCAGCTTGGCGACCCCCTTTACCATTATTATTTGAAGCCCCCGCCACTTTAGCTTAATTTACCAAAATATTTCCACAATAAAATCCGCTGAATAAGTTCAGCGAATTACCACAGGGGGTCACCTCGGTTAGTAAATTAGCATAACTTTGTTTCTGGGAGATTTTATGTAATTAGGAAAAAACTTTTAGGAAAATAATTATTAAAATTAAGATACATCACAAACTATTGTCTGAAACTAAGCAAAAATTATATAAATAAATCTCCATTGAGCACAATAACAAATATGGCCGACCGAACGAAGAACGTCCCGTCTATCCATAGAGTTTTTTTTTTTTTTCCCATATTCGTCCATCTCCTTTTCAGTGATGGAACAGGCAAAGATCCTTAGACCGTACAGCCTAGTCTACTTTTAAACTTCTTCATATTTGAACAAGTGATGAGGCCAAAGGCCAATTCTTATGTATGTTTATTTTTTGTTTTCATTCGTGTTCAAAATTTAAGTCTTATCCGTAGTCCATATCCTTGTATCAATTATTTAAAGTTTTATCGATATCGAGGTAACGTATAAATATATAGGTATATATGTTTCAAAATTAGTTAGCATGTCTTGGATGTCGCGCGGGATTTTTTCCGGTTTCTTGTAAATGTTCAGTAAATTATCAATAAAGACCAAGCGTTGAATATTATAAGCGGAACATTCGAAAAATATGTGATTTAGGGTCTGACTGCTGTTATTGCACTCTTGACATGCATTTGAATCAATTATTTTCATTCGGCACAAATGACTATTGAATCTAGCGTGACCAAAACGAAGTCGTATAAGGAGTGTGTAAAATTTCCGATTTTTATAAATTCTAGATTTAGTGAACCAGGGTGAGGAATTAATATTTTTGTTAATAGAGTAAAACCAATTACCCTTGGTCTTTAGCGAAAGTTGCCACTGTTCAACCCATTTTTGACGAAAACTCTTGTAAACTATAGAAAGAATGTCGGAATAAGGTATGGCAACATCCTTGACAACGCCAATGTCATTGTTGGTGATAGTTCTTGCCAGGAAATCTGCGTTTTCATTGCCAAAAACACCAATATGTGATGGTGTCCATAATAAAATAATATCATAACACTCCAATGAAAGCTCATATAATAATTGCTTAATGCTATCTATGATATAATTGGTTTTATAATGTAGTTTGTTACTTTGAAGAGCAGTTAAAACACTCATACTGTCTGTGACAATTAACCATTTTTTGCAATTGCCCCTATCATCTTTTATATAACAAAGTGCATTTAAAATAGCCAAAGATTCTGCTGAAAAAATACTAAATTCTTTATGTATTCTAGTTCCATGACCAGTTCTGATACTTGGTAAGTATAGAGCAAAGGATGTTCTCGATTCGTTTTTAGAACCGTCTGTAAATATGGATTGATGAGTTGAAAATGTAGACAACTTGTTATAAACTTCTTGTTTGGTCCTTAACTCAGAGTCAATTACAATATTAATATTTGGAAATTTACTTTCAAATGGTCCATAGTAACAATTCCAAAATCTATTGCTTTTGTGAATTTTGTATTGCTGATCAATATTGATTGAGTCAGAGAAATCATGAAGTATATAGGGAACTGTTTTAGAATTAGAAAGGGGAAATAAAGAAGTAATATGTTTGAGCTTTTGTAAGAGTGGGTCTTCAGAAAAGGATAATAATTTTAAGATGAATCTTTGTTTTAAGTACCAGAATCTCAGGTTTAATGGTGGTATACAGCACTCTACTTGTAAGGAATTTATAGGGGTTGTTTTCATTGCACCAGTTATGTATCTTAAATTATTATTCTGAAGTACTTCAAGTTTATGAAGCTTGTTTTGGTCAGAACCAAAACATAGATAGCCATATTCAAAGTGGCTGCGAACCAAGGATTTGTACAGCATTAAAAGGATCTTAGGATCACATTTATATAGAGCTTTGATAATATTAAATGCTTTGGAAGCTTTACCTAGTAAATAATCAACATATTTGTTCCATGACAAATTGCTACAAAAAATAACACCTAAAAATCTAACTTCAGCAGTAATAGGTAGTTGTGAATTATTATATAATATTTTAATGTTTTTGTAGGATTTATTAGTTTTAGAAAATATTACTACTTTAGATTTGTCAGGGCTTACATCTAAATTGAGGTATTTAAAGTAATCTGTTAATCTTAACAATGAGTTACTTATTTTTTCTGTTACTTTATTAATGTCTGGGCCTGAAAAGTATATAACAAGGTCATCTGCAAATTGAAGATTCCTGACATGTGGTCCTAAAATTAAATTAAGTTTGTGTATGTAGAGGATAAAGAGTAGTGGACTAAGTATTCCACCTTGACACACACCTTTATAAGAAAGACGAGGTCCTATTAACTGCTTGTTAACTTTAACAAAAACTTCTCTACCATTTAAAAAGTTATAGACCCAGTTTATAATTTTTCCAGGTATACCAATAGAAACAAGTTCCAGAGTAAGAATGTGATGATTGACATTATTGAATGCACCGATAATATCAAAGAATACCCCAATCAAAACTTCATTGCATTTAAGTGCTTTAAATATATCAATATGGAGATGAGTAACACTCTCAGAGGCAGATTTACCTCTACGAAAACCAAACTGGTTTGCTGGTAATAAACAATTACTCTCTATGTAGAATTCTAATCTTTGTTTTAATAATTGCTCAAATATTTTTCCCATGCAGGAGGTCAGGGTTATGGGTCTATAGGAATCTATTTCATTTGCATTTTTGTTTGGTTTTAAAATTGGAATAATACAATCTTTTTTCCAATCGGAAGGAATAACTGACTCTTTCCACAGTGCATTATAAATACATAGAACAATATTTTTAGAGGTATAAGAGAGGTTTTTTAATAATTTATATGGTATGCCATCGAGACCAAATGCTGTATCTCTTCGGGTAGATATGGCTGCATTGAATTCAGAAAAAGTGAAGGGTTTATTTAAATAATTTAATTTGTTACTATTTTCATTAATGTTTGATTTAAATTGGGTCTCGACAGTGTCAGGAGTATATTTCTTAAGAAAATCTGAAATCCAGTTATTTTTATTTGAAATCTGACTATATACATAAGTTTTATTGAATTTTTTAACGGTATTCCAAATTTTCGAAATGGGTGTGGTGCGATTAAAATTTTCACAAAAATTATTCCAGCTAATTGATTGTTCTCTTTTAAGTATTAACTTTTTTTGGCTTGTAACCTTTTAAATGTAATATAATTTGCCTCTGATGGGTTGTTTTTAAAATTAACATATGCCTGTTTAGAGTTATCTACTGCAAGTGTACATTTTCCATTCCACCAAGGTAATGGAATCCTTTTATTTTTAAAAGGAATATCAGTTGTAGAGTTTATGGGTTTTGATTTTGATATATAACTTTTGTCTAGAGCTAAATTGAAAATATCAATTAATTTAGTATAACACTGCAGGGGTGAATTACTATAAGTGTAAAGTGTAAAATCTTGTAACAAACTATCTGTGGTCTTCTTATACATGGTCCAATCTATAAGATTGTAATTATGAAATTTGGGATAATCTGAGGATTCTGGTAATCTAGTGCAATTGTTATTAATTACTATTTTTGTTATTACAGGTAAATGGTAGCTACCTAAGGGATCATTATGTACCATCCAATTTGAAGCAAGAGATAAGCAAGGGGATGCAATAGTAAGGTCAAGTGCATTACTCTGCCATCTGTGTGATCCTACTGTAGTCGGTGTACCATCATTTAAGATGACCAAGTTGTTACCATCAATACATTCAAGAATGTCACGACCACGAGCATTAATAGACGAGCAACCCCATGCTGTGTGATGAGCATTAAAATCACCAGCAACCAACATGGGTTCTGGAATACTATTAAGAAGATTACTGAATTTATTTTTGTTAAAACGTGGACTACAATTATTTGGGCTATAAAAACTAACAACTGACATTTCTGTGTTTTTATATTTTAATCGTACCGCAATATTCTGTAAGGAATCATCACTATATGTATCAATTTTACTGAATTCTATACTTTTATGAACTAAAATTGCAACGCCATTATGGTCATTGCCTGAGTCTAATCTAACAATGTTAAAACCTTTAATATTTAATTTATAGTAGGCTTTTAGCCAGGTTTCTGATATCAGAGCAATATGAATATTGTTCTCCAATAGAAAATGTGTAAAGATTTGTTGATTACTTACTAAACTTTGTGCATTCCACTGGACTATTACTATATGGTCCATAAAGAAATAAAAAATTAAAGAAAGAAAGATTAATCTGGGTTTTTTTTATTCTGTAATGTCTCTAGGAGAACTTGTTTTATATTTTCTGTACATATTGTTTTGTCATTGGTTCTATTCAATGTTATAATTTTAACAATTGATTCTAATAGGGTATTTAAAATTTGGTCAGAATTAAGTAGGGATATAAATTGTGCCGAAGGTGAAGTTTTGGTACTGCCTAATTGAGGAAATGATTTCTCTCTAACAATATCAGCATAACTTTGTACTTTATTTTTATTCTCCTCTATTTTCTTTTTCTTAATAGGACACTGTGATGAAATGGCTATATGATTACCATTGCAGTGACAACATTTAGCTTCGTTAATATTTGCCGAACAGTTTCTGAAATTATGATTATTTCCGCATACTGAGCATCTTTCAGCGTTCTTACAAAACTTAGCGATGTGACCATACCTTAAACATTTAAGACACTGCTTTACAGGAGGTATATAAGGCCTCACCACAAAGCGCCAACTATTCAGGTCGACGGTGTCAGGAAGTACAGGACAGGAAAATGTGATGGAGACGGTTTTAGTTGGCTGCATTGTAAAGGTGTTATCATCACCTTTAATACGCCTCATGAATCTGCGTACACAAACAATATTTTTTGAGCTGGTTATATTAGAGTATATTTGTTCGTTCGATAGATGCGTAGGAACATGCTGAACTACTCCAGTTACTTCCGTGGCTGAAGCTGGTATACTTGCCTTTAATTTAAATCCGTCTAGAAATTTTTTATTAACTAAGGCTGCATTAGCTAAACCGGGGCGTTCAAAAATGACGCCGATCTTAAATTTATTCATCCTTAATAATTGCTTAACTCCTTTATTATATTTTTTCAAATTAGTAGCTAAGGACATCATATCCCTATCACCGATTGGCTTATTACTATCTGTACTCTCCATAAATACAATGTATTCAAAGTTTCCACCATCCTCAGGATAGTACCGAACATAATCTGGTATTTGAAATGCCTTATACTTATCCACATCCTCAGGTGCCGATTCCGAGTCAGACCCTAGAAAATTAATATCATCGGATGTATCATCCGATATTTCCTCTTTCTTTTTTCGCTTCTTCCCACTCCTCTTCGTCATCTTTACTGGTTTTGACTAAAAAAAAACTCAATAAAATATAATTTTGCAAAACTAGCGCGAAAAAATACGTGTAGTCGCTTTGAAAGTTCCCGCGCTTTCCCTATCCATAGAGTTTATTTCTTTTTAGTAATTTATTGGGCTTTGGATATCCATAGAGTACTAGAAACCATTCTCAAAGAATATACAAAATTATAGAGTAGACAGGTACTAAGTAGGCATAAAACATGGTTCCCACTATGGCAAAGCATGTCCTTTCACTTGACCTAGTGGATATTTTCGCATAGAATGGTTTTTCAAAAATATTTAGAACGGGTGTACTCCGGGCTACAGGGTAATAATTGTTTTTGGAAGAGAAATTGTTACCTAATGGCAAATAGCGTTAGTATTTTCCCAATTGGGTTATATCTCCAGGGCATTAAGAACTGACCCGCGTTTGCCATGATTACTCTTTTATAGTGACAGAGGCTCACAGGGGCGATGCTCTCTTTGGAGGGCAGTCTCTCTATACTGATGTCTATATAAAACAAACCGAATTAGGGGCGCAATAGTAAGATTTTGCCGCCCTCTCTCCACATTGAGGAGGATTACCACTATGTGACTAAGATGCATGGGGTTTTTAACCGGTAAGTTACGGGCGTATCCGCTCATCCAGTCCTTGAGGCGAGTGGATCTCCATGATGTATATTATGAATAGTCGCTACTTTCAAATCTTTATTTTCTTTACTTTGCTTCTGGTACTTAATAAAATTTAAAAAGGCGGTGAATTTAAATTAATTCAAAATAATTTTTAATTTTGTTATGTAACTGTTTATACACAGTAATTTAGAGATTTTATTAAGCATTAGGTATTTTTGATAGTACATTGTGAAAACCTACACCATAGGGCTAGTTTTATTATTTTGTTGTTTTCCAGGGTTTCGATGTAGCGATAATGACAGCTGTCAACAGGACAATCTCTGACCGGAATATGACAGATTGACATTGTTGGAGAACTTATTATAAAATATTATCAATAGATTTTTCTAGATATACCCCTATTTTATTCTTTTCATAATGATGTTTGCAATCTAAAATTATTATTGCTATTATTTATACAGTTCTATTTTCTTATGGTACCAAATTACCAGTTTTTTCTTTAATTTGAAATTGAAAGTCATAGATCAGTGTTATAAATAATGTTTTGTTGGGGTAATGCAACCCATCACGAATTATGCTTGGATGATTCTGAAGACAACGATTTGGTAAGAATGCAATTTATAGGTACATTCGTACAACTCCCTTCTTGTGTTATATTTTATTTTTTGTATAATTAGACAATTTGTAGTATTTCTATTGTTCCTTATTTTTTATCTACAATTACTATTAATTCGTTAAAAATGTTTTTTTTTATCAAATTTAAACCTAAATATAAATATAAGCGAACCGAATATAGGCGAACCGCCCTTCACAAAATAACTCTGAAATATAGAGTACATATTTTAATTAATTAAATTTTGAAAACGAATTTCGGAATTAACGAATTTTTCCCAGTCTAATTTTTATTAGCAGGACTTACAAAATTTACTCATTTTATTCTATAAAATACTATTAAAGTTGGACAGTCTTGTTGTTACAATAGTAAATTATACCAACATAGCTATATAGTGTATTCTTTTATGCACATAATGTGGTTCTAAATATTTATATTTTACAATCTTGCATGTTTCTTTTTTTACATAATAAATTAAGTATAGTGTTCTTATTTATATTAAAACCTTTTTTTTTTATAAAATAATATAAAAACAAGTACATACTATAGAGACCTTTGCTGCCACAATATAGCTGTTTACCTTTTGAGTTAATGTTGCCTCTTTCTCCACTTAATTCTTATTATAAATTTTGTATGTTTATTATTTTATAAAAATTTCATTTGTCTAATATGATAGGATTAAGTTTTATTTATTTGTTACTTGACTATACCTCACAAAAATAAATGTTTATTCATTGTGATTCATTATCAAATGATATGTATTTTGACCCATATCTATTAATTATTGCTGTTATTTGATTGTCATCAAGTAGGATTGTTGCTGACATACTGGCTATATAGTTTTATAGTTCATTGTATTTTCTATTGAGCATGTTATTATATATGATTATTTAATGTAATTAGTGCTAATCGGTAGTTTGTATTCACACACTTAAACTTAAATTGTAAAGTAAAAATAAAATTATTTAAAAGAGCAACACACAATTTTCTCGCTCATTCTTCTTGTGACGAGACAGCTTTCTGAATGAGCGGTAGATTAAATAAAATGTGATGACTATTCAAAAGTGCTTCAATGTAAGTTTATTTGAATAAATGATTTTCTATTCTATTCTATTCTATAATTTTGTCAATGTTCGAAAAAAGATTTTTGTAATAAATCTGTTTTTTTATATATATCAGATTTATATCCCAGCTAAGAAAAAGAAACGAATTTCAATCTGTAAGGAGATTGCATTCTTAAAAATGTGAAAGGAATTTGAAAATAAAATAAGTATCAAATTATTACTACATTTATTATTTAAAAAAAAAACTTAACAATTAACAAAAGAATTACTTAGTGTTGTGTGTTTATTTTTTTAATGAACAATTAAAAAAACCCAGGAACTTTTATTATAATATTAATCAACAAATTTTAATAATAATTTGTAATCATAAAAGTTCAGCATTCTGCCTTAAGCATAGATCTATGAGTGGGATATCACAATCATCTTCATAAAATAAATCTTATATGATATGAAGTTAAGGTTTGAATTTCAATAAAAAGCTAGCCATACTGGTCATTTAGAGGGATTTTCCCCAACTTTAAATGAAGTTTTTGTATACTTAATGATTTAGTGTCTAATAAATAATTGTGATAGACCACAACAAGGATATAATTCTTAAACTTACAATTGATTCACAGGTTATTAAACCTACACTATCAAAATGGAAAGAAAGTCACCACATCAGGTGTATAGCCGCAGGAGAGTTCTTTGCCTTATACCTCACAAAACAGGGTCGATTGTATTCATGTGGAAGTAATGAGGTTGGTCAGCTAGGACGACAGACTTTATTCTATTCTAACGAGAATAGAACACCTTGTGAGCAAATTTTTATTCTTTATAATTAAAAAAAAATAATATTGAATAAATTTAAGACTGTGTAAATTCCAGCTTAAATTTAATGAATAATTAATTGCATTTGAGAATGCACTATCTTGCACTGAGAAATGGGAAATCTAGTAATTGTCAATAATATTTCAGGTCTTGTAGAGAAACTGAAGGAGCATAAAATTTTATCAGTAGCTTGTGGGATTCAACACTCTCTAGCACTCAACGAGTGGGGAATCCCCTACAGCTGGGGCTGTAATGGCATGGGACAACTTGGCGTGGTCCAAACTGATGCACAGTCACACAATGTTCCTTGCATCATAAAAGAGCTTGCAACAAAAAATGTGGTTCAAGTTGCATGTGGTTCATTCCATTCCATAGCTTTAACAAATAGTGAGTATTGAATATTTAACAGTGTTGTTGCAAGTTATTGCAAATTTTAGTATTAATTAACAAAACAAATATGCCTGGACAACTTATACAGCATTATTTACTCCTAAAGTAATGTATTTCAGGCAGTTTAAATTAGTGTTTATTTTTAGTAAGCAATAATAGTTTGTACATTCATCTAAAAAAAAAATAGCCTCATAACTAAAAAACCACTGCTAATATCTTGACCTAATTAATATGGGACCACACAAGAAGTACCAGTCTACAAATAAATTAAAAAAATATATTGGTTCCCATCAAAAAAAGGTCTAAGGTAACACAAAATATACAGTTAAGTATATTTTTCAAATTAGTTGAAAATCACATGTAATCGTTAATGTTTAGGTGGCGATCTCTATTCATGGGGAGCAAATTCTTATGGACAATGTGGGTTAGGCATTTTTACAAGCAAGGAAATGAAACCACGACAAATTACATCACTGCTTGGTGTGCCCATTGCATTGATAGCATGTGGCAGTAATCACACATTTGTGTTATCTAAGTAAGTTTTATTGCTTTTTTATAACCCAATACTACTTGATTCTAATGCTGTGTTCAGAAATTGAACTGTGACATTAAGATACCAACAACTAAGTAATTGTTCGAATTCCCATTGAAAAATAAACAAGGCTTATTTTAACTTTTATATATTATTGATAAGTTCCTTAATTTCTATATCTATGATACCTTCTACGATTCTTTTATACAATTTGATCAACAACCTGATCTGTTTTATGTTTATTTACAAAATACATATACATACATGTGTACATGTTATTTAAGTAAATTTTAAAGTGGTCCTTAAACTACCCTTTTAGCTTATATTTAGTTTAATTTTATTAGGTCTCAAACAAAAACAATTTGGTTCGAATTGTTTTTATTTGAGGCAATAAAATCCGATCATCACATCAGGTCTACTTGCACATCGTAAGCTACAGTATCTTTAGTGTAGGTACTGCATTTATAATGTATAATAATAAAAATATTAAACTGTTGATGTTGTTACTGTATTATCTATAAATGTAACCATAGTCAGGAAACAACTTTATAATTAGTGTTATTTCTCACATGGTTGTTGATATCAACATATTATTATGTTATTTCGATATTCAGGCGGTTCATACATGCCATGATATTGTAATATAATTGAAAAAGGGCCATACATTAATTACATTCGGATATTCAGTTCTATTTATGTTATATAATTTTGGTTAAAATTTAACAGGTCCGGTGCTGTTTTTGGCTGGGGGAAAAATTCACACGGGCAATTAGGGTTACAGAATACAGAAAATAGATGTTATCCAACACATCTGAAGACATTAAGGAATGTTAAAGTATGTATCTGTATTATGTTGTCACAAGAGTCATAATACTTTTAAAGATGGATTATTCTTTTAAGATTGTAGGAATGGCTACTAATATGATTTCTTGTAAAATTATATGAATGAATAAGAATCTCCAATATTATTCAACAAATTGGTACCATAATCATACTTACACAGAAGTATAATAAAAAATAACATTCTTTATTTCTTAATTCTATTAATGGAATACCAAGTTTCTTGACCCCAGAAACTAAGATACAATACATAATTTTTAGACCAAGCATTAGGAATTATATTATGTTTTAAATATTATACCTGTATATATACATATAGATTTAATCAATAGCTACAGAAATTGCTTTTGATAGTATACATTATCATAAATATTTGTACCTGCCTGTCACGTCATTTCTTTCATTTGCTCTCCTCTGGATGCAATATAGTTATGACAATGTCATATAATAAAAAAAATATTTTAGGTATGTCATATTGCCTGTGGCGAAGACTTTACAGTTTTTCTTACATTGGATGGTGGTGTTTTCACATGTGGTAGTGGGGACCATGGACAGACAGGTCATGGAACAGCAAGAGATGAATTAGTACCAAAACAGGTATAAATTTTTATAAGCAAATGTTTGAATTAAGATAAATATTAAAAGTTTACATAATACTTTATGTTCCTGATTCCTATTTTTCGTTACAGATAACTATATACACGTGACATGTATATTTATTTTATGCTTATAATTTACATTTCATAATGTTAGAACATATTGACAATTAAAATAATATAATTAATATCTAACTATTATTTATCAAATTGAAAGTTATGATATATGATAATTGGATCGTTCATACGGAAATCTAAAATGTAGATTAAAATTAGGTATAATATCGATTAAATGACGCTGTACATATATAATTAGTGACATCATAATAATATGCGCCACATGAAATTAAAATTCATTGTAGTATTTTCTGATTTAAAATTTTATTCACTTAGTGATAGTAAATATAGAATAATGCTATACCAATATACTCGTATAAATAGTAAAATGCTAATTATTTCATGTCTTCTATGAAAATTGCTCCTCTACTGTATTAGAATTAAAGTCATAGGTATCCATTATGTAAATCTTGTTTATGTATCCATACGAAATGTTGATTTAAACTAAAATGTTAAAAAAATTCCAATCAATAAGATTTTTTATATCAGAGACGCTTAATGCATCAAACATATGTAATAAAACCGAAATAGCGCTCACGACATTGAATATTTCTGAAAAAAAAAAAAGCAATGTATGTGTTGAATTTATGTTAGTGAGAACAACACATTTTTTTTCGTATACGCTAATATCAGAATGCGGTTTTCATTATTAGTCATTACATATATGACCGATAATAATCAATGATTACATTAAAGAGAAAAAATGTTACGTTATTAATAAATCAAATGTGTAGCTAAGTTTAATTAGAAATTGTGTAATCATACTGCTACTAGAAACTGCTGTCGATAGTAATAAATGTCCCCTTCGTCATGTTTCATGTTTATTTTAAAAAAGTGTCATTGACTTTCGCCTGTAATAGTATACTTTCCGTTATATAACTACACACATAGGCTGATTGTTTAGCGCGATGCGTTTATGAATCCTGCCCGATTAATCTACTAATATTTATTCAGTCAATTTTTGTATGCCGTTTTGTAATGATTGGTGATCTCGATAGCATTAATCATAAACTTTGGCCGTGTACTAGTGTACAATGAAATAACCGTAATTTCAAGTTACTTACTTCAAGTTGTGAAGGTATCATCATTAAGATGGTGAACAGGAGGGGGGCCGCATGTTTAGTTGGTTACAATTATTAGTTATTGTGAGGCACCAGTGGAGGATGATAGGATGAACATGATTTCAGAATACATGTTGGAGAATTCACCAGAAATTAATCGTTATGGTCGAGCGAGTCCTTTATTAAACATATTCTGTCCTCATCCTAACGACGTGGTTGTTGTCAGGTCATGGAATTGATGGGCAGCACCGTGACACAAGTGGTATGCGGGCGGCGCCACCTGTTGTGCCGCGTCGGAGAACGAATCCTGGCCTGCGGTTACGGCGCGCGGGGCCAACTCGGCTGCCGGCAAGTCTCTGCTCTCGTACCCACGCCTGTATCCTTCGTGCCCAGTGACGATTCGCCCGTTAGTACTTTTGTGTTCACCTGTTTGCAAGTGTTTTATTTTTTCTTTATATATATATGTAGCTTTTCTTTGTGGCAATCCTTTATTCGGGGGGATGGGGGTAAAAGAATAAGACAATTATTTGTTGGTCCTACATTACAACACAATATACAAATATTTGTATTTCTTTTTGGATCAGAATCCTAACACTGAATGCCAATTGTGACATAAATTTTATGCACCATCTTTCAAGAAAACCAATATAAACAAATATATGTTACTGCACTTTATTTCATTTATCATAAATTTAAAATTCATATGTTCCACTCTGTTCAAACGATTTAACATTTGAATTTATGAATTATAAGTGGCTTTGTGAAAGACGGTATTCTCCCTTGACAACCACAATTTTGAAAAAGTCGTATAATATACAATCATAATAACCTATTCTTTTGAAAAGTTTTCAATTTACTAACCTATACATTGCTTTTATACAGACTGACAATCCGGGCCAAAGCAAGGTGAATATCATTTAATTGAGCCTGTAGTAGCTGTGTGTGTATATTAATTACCTTCACATTTCTTTCTTAATTATTATTTATGCTATTTATTCAATAGTGCTTTAAGTATTCATGGTAGCTTTCGATGTTAGCATTATTTATAGTTTATTATAGTTTTGGTACTCTTGCGGTTAAGCACACCGCCAGGTCGCGGTTCAAATTCTTACACGGTACATACATTTGTAGTGGCGAAATATTATGTCCATCAGTTTATTAGTAGCCATTGTACCAGTACTGCTTAATAAATTGTCCTCGCCTATTATTATTATTATTAAAGATGATTTTAGCTACAGTTATGTTTGTATCTAAATAATAATAATAAAGCAATTGTTTACATACCGCAGGTATTATACAAGATAAACAATAATTAATAGTGAACTATCCTTCTTTAGCCGAAGAAGAAACAGAAGGTGGAGGTGTCTACGACATATGTTCGGCACAGCGGTGCGGGTGCTTCAAAACGAAATGTTGAGTCCTTGTTCAACATACAATATTTATATCATGTACTTAGGTACATAGCCACTTTATTGGACTACTTACAAAATTCTCACATAATAGAAACTAGTTCATAAATTAAAGTTTCCAATCAACTCATTTATTTATTAGATTGAAAATATTACCCGCTAATATAACTGGACCGCTAATATATTTAAATTATTTACCGGGTCTTAACCCGAATAAGTTTATGGTTAATAAAGGTATTTTACTTTACTCGAATTTTCGACTAGCTTGCGCTAGCCGTGGCGATCTATTGACGGTTGTACAAAAATCTGCTGGTACTCCAGTCAGCCCGTAACCACGTCTAGTCGAAACGATGAGAGAGGTAAATAATACCTTATTTGCCTGAAAATTATTCGTGATAAGATCCGGTTAACAATATAAATATGTATAATGAACATGAAAAAATTAAAATAAATAGAATGTATCAATCTATTATCCATAACATTTAGCAAGGTCTCAAATAATATATTATCATGCATATGATAGGGTATATATAACTATATGGAATTTGTACAAGATTTATATGGCAAAGTAAACACAAAATATACGGTAATTGCAAGTTTGTACTTGATTTTATAAACTAACTTTATAGAATTTGCGTAATTACGTTATTCTTTTATTAATAAAAAAAAACAATTCTCTCGTTATATATCAGAACGATTGAATCTTCGTATACTGATGTCCTGAATGTGATACATATTTATGCATGTAGTAGGCCTAATCTTTCTTGCGTTTGTGGTCATGTTCGCCTGCTTAATTATGTTGTTTCACATTAAGTTTGAATCTGTTCTCCTAACAGTCGTTTATTTTGCTTGTTTTACATTGTCTGTTGGTTGTGATATTATTACATCTATGTTATGTGTAGTAGTCCTATTATGTGCTAGTTTACATTACGTAATTATAGATTAAAAATATCTAAATTTTCAAGATAGAAACGTATATTTCTCTTCTGAAATTTTGTAAGACAATTATACATAGGTTTTCTTTATATGTGTTTGAGCTAAATACTTACGTAAAATATTAACATTGCCAAACCACGAATAAGGATATTACCATTTTTAGTTTTGAGTGATCATAATTATTATATACACAAAACCACAGTTAGGTAAAGTTTTATGTATTGTAAGTATATAGTTTCCTTATCATTACACTACCTGTTGAGTAACATTTTTGTTATTTGACAAATAAATCAATACGACGTAAATATATTGCTACACTGGGCTAGAATTCTAATAGCAAGACATTTTACATAAAAAATGTACATATTTAACCAAGGTTCATTTTCAATAAAAGCTTATATTGAATCTTTAAAATTTATTTGCACGATGTTATCTTTAGTTATAATGCAAAATATTAATTATTTCGTTGCAGTTCTCTCCAGAGGTATTCAGTGGTCCCATGAAAGTGTTCGCGGGTGGTGACCACAGTTTCCTCGTCACAAATTGCGACAATTCAGAATTGCAACCAATCCTCACGCTGAATCTATCAAAACTTCATGTTTGCGAAGCTATAAAAGACGACGAAGTTGTCAACCAAGTGAGTATTTATATTTATTTTTGAATTTTTATGGGCAATAATAGAATGAAACAACGTTAGCAAACAAAATTCACATTTCAAATTAGTACAGTTCCTTAGCTACTAATGAGAAATATGTAACTCTATGTTAAATCTATTCTTGGTTACATCACATCAGAGTTGTATATTTGTCATCATAACTTCATCAAAACTGGGAGACTACCTGATAGACACGGCTCATCCGCACACCCAGAGGGGGGTGAACGTTGGGGCCTCGGGGAGAACCCCCTTGCCCCAATGACTTCGGGGAACACAACTCTCGGGTAACCGGATGTAAATCTTTCAATTAGATAGACAACTATAAGTAACTTATGCTAGTGCCTACGTGAAGTACAGGCATTATTATTTTTTAGGTCTAACGTGTTACGTCTACGTACGCAGTAATTTCATTGCTTTATCTCGCCCTGAAAACAGAAACTGTGGCGATGTCCGAGAGATTTGATGGCCTTGGTGGTTTAGCACTACCCTTTACTTATGGGCGGCGGTGATGGATACTCACCGCCATCGAGAACCAGGATAAGATAATCCTGTCTTGGGTTATTAATTATTAACCAAAACACCCAGAACAAAATAATTAGAATCATATTTATATGTAAGAGTAGTAGACTGCGTAGATACCTCTGCCTACATATTTCAGCCACCAAGCAGTTTACTTTGTAAGCGGTGTTTCGAATGAAGGTCATAAAGCAATTAAATCATAGACTGAGGGGTATAACGTCTTTGTCGTTCGGAATGGCAATGCATATTTTCTATCACAGGCGTCACATAATGTTCATAATGCTATTCATGTACACAGGCGACGTTTAGCAGCTATCAGCTTGTTTGCCTATCTAATTAGATAAAAATAAATTGTCACTAGTAAAGACAAGCTTTATATCGTGTTATTAGGATTTGATGGCCTACTTGGAGACAGTGTTCGGTTCGTTGGCCTGCCTGAACGGCTCGTTTCTGCTGCCCAACAATGCGCACTTCGGATGCAACAAGAAAGTTCCTGGCGTTGATTTAAACGTCGTGGAACAAGCCTTCACAACAATTAGCAGATTCGAAAACACTTCCATAAAGGAATTGGTATGTTGATATATTTTATCTCGTTTCTTTAATATTGTATTTTTTTAAAAATTTTGTGTTGTCTCACGCTTGGCAGTTTTATTAAAAGTCGTGGCGAAATATTCGATAAGTGCTTTTCTAAAGTGGGCGGGGCGTAATAGCATATGCGCCAATTGATAAGCCAGTTTGGTATGAGCGGTCCGGCTTATAAATAGTGTACAATAATATAAAACAGTAGGATTGAATAAAAATTTCTAGAAGTTTGTTAACTTACCCACTATATGGAAATTATTGTTACATCTAATAAACTGCAATTATTACAATTTTGCGTATTGTCCTGAATAATATTTCAGGTATTCAACCAGCTCACAGAGAATATAATAAAGAAAATGGCGACATCCCCACCAGATGTGGAAGCACTCAGAATGTTTCTCATAATCCCTCTATACCACGAGATGAGGAATCCACGGCGACATCCTGAATTGCAGGTAATTATTGTTTTTAATTTAAAATAATTGATTGTATTAGGCACATAGGTGGAAATAAAAAAGTGTAATCCATCATATTTGAAATTAGTACTGTTCCCTAACAATATTACTGATACATTGTATGTTCTGAGTGATGAAACAAATGAAGAAAAAAATGTATTGTACTATTATTCAGGTACTGAACATCTTCATCAGTTTATAGGTCTAATCTATTAATTCTGTAATTACAAACTTAGTTACAAACACTGATATAAATTGTATTGTGGCGACGTGATAGATCGGATAATGTCATTTAAATAGGTCTGTATGTTTTGTTATACAGTAAAACATAAACTTTCTTCGTATATGGTAATTAATGTTAAAATGATATGCTAAGTAAAAACTGTAATTTTGGTAATGACTGAATCGTCGCGTTATGAAAATAATGCTGACAGCGCACAAGTGCAAAGTACATTGAGAGTATGAGCTTAAAGGTTAGGCGAACCTTCTGGATTCAGGTTAAATTTGAATAATTGTTTTTTTAAAATATCGTGTAAATATAGTTTCACCCGGATATTATGTTATAGGGTCCATTCGCAGAAGCGTTTAACAATTTGTCGGCAGTACCACAGAAGATAGTACAACAGTGGTGGGAAGAGCAGTCTACTGAGTACTTTGAAATGCTTGTTGACATATTCATAAGTGTTATCACTTACGAGCTCATACAACCATCTGTGCGACTCAACAAGGTAAATTAATAAATTGAAGTAGTATTACTAAATTCACATGTGTCTTATGCAAAATTAAAACGTAATATAACATCTATAAACAATACACACAGCGCCATCTAGTCCCAAATTAATCAAAGCCTATGTGATGGGTACTAAATAACCGATAGAACGTTTAGATACATTTTTTTTTGTAAATAGATAGAAAACACCCAGACCGATATTAGAAACGATTGTTATTATTGATATACATATATTAGCATCGCACCCTAGTACCTCAGCAATTTCTTTTATTGATAAAATGGTAAAATTTTCCTTTGAGTTGTTGACTGATCATAGTGATGAAATGTAACTATTTAACATTGCATAATTCATATTCATGTAGTTGATGCAAATAAATTGGTCATTATATATATTTATCTAAATTTTATATTGTATGTGATATTTGATTAAACAATTTTTATTTTTGTTAGTAATTCCCGTCTACCACATGCCATTTAAAAACAATTTTGTCTACTGTGTTAATAACTGTTTATATATGAACTTACCTAACATGCATTTTTCAGAAGTTAATGTTTAAACACAGCATTGTTCAAATATTAGACGCACTGTCGTTTTTAAATGCAATTAATTTCACCAATCCAAAGAAACCTAAAATAGCTGCGGAGGCTTTCTACATAGAAGACCTTTGTAATTACGTGGATATCGCAAGAGATTATATGCATTGGCATGCAAGTAAAAATGTAAGTATGGAGTCCATTACATTGATTATAAACAAATATGTGAGACTATTTTCATATAATAAAAAGTCTTTCGCAGTGTATTACTATGTCTGTGAGACTATGAAAAGTTATATAAAAATTAACATTATTTTTACAGTCATTCGAACCTCATATGTGTCACTACCCGTTTCTATATGACGTTCAGTGCAAGTCGTTGCTGTTGAGGGTTGATCAACAGCTGCAAATGCAGACGGCCGTACATAGAGCGGCTTCTGAGATGTTTACTCGGCTAATATTCGACCGTACATACGATTATCACTCAAGGGACCAGTTTCTGTACCTTACAGTGTCAAGAGAACATATAGTCCGAGACACTATATTACAAATTTCAAGCCACGAAACTTCACAGCTCAAGAAACCTCTTAGAGTAAGTGTAATATTAATTTTGATTTTTTTTTATTTTATCTGAAATATTGAATTCGAAATCAGCGATTTTAGCCGTATGTTAAAATAAATATATACATATAATAACAATGTAACTTATCACTGTCTACATATAGAAGATATGTGTAATAGATAAAAGGCACTTCCTCAATATAAAAGAATCCAAAACAATAATTGTAATTTTTTTTAGTAAGTCCGTGTGTGAGATTTTTACAATGGCATTATATAAAATGATAGTTCGAATATTGAGTCTGAATGCGAATGAACGAAGCGAATGTAAATAAGTTGTCGTTGAATTAAATGTCGCGAAATTTGCTTTGCTGAAAAGCCAATAGCACTCTAATATTTATGTGATATTCAGATGAGTTTTTCTACTTAAAATACATATGTATATGTATAATAGACAATGTAATTGTTATATTAGACATTATTCATAAGAATAATAATCGTCTTTAGTCATTTATATATACATATTTATAAATAATATACGCTCGCGGTTTATGTTTTTGGGATTTACTTGACTAATTTAACTCATTAAGAAGCCTTATATTATTATGAGAACATTACACGGCAGTGTCGCAACAGCGAGCAATGGTATTAGTGTTATACAACAATATATATATATATATATATATATATATATATATATATATATATATATATATATATATATATTATATATATATATATTATATGTTATACAACTTAATATATATATATATATATATATATATTATACACCATATTTCTCCATCACATCTATCGTAATAACTTCAATAGAAACAAAGAAAACCAGTTGTACCTATTTGTCTGAAAAATATCGTAACTATGAATGTTAACTATGTCATACATAGTCAATTAAGGCTCAATTTTCTTTAATTTAAGGATCAAAAAAGAAATCTTGTTCTTTTTTAACCTAAACAAATAGTATATGGACAATTAGCCCTAAACTAAGCAGAGCTTATTAGGCAAGTGATGGGCATTTTTAAATATATTTTTTATTTAAAATACGTACATGTGTATGTATGTGTTTATTTAAGACAAAAATATACAAACAGCTATGACTGTCTAGGTTATCAATTGCTGCAGAAGTTTTGAGTCCTATCTTTGTTTCAGATATCATTCCACGGTGAGGAAGCTGAGGACGCCGGTGGTGTTAAGAAGGAATTCTTTCAGTTGTTACTAAAGGAGATATTCAACCCCGTATATGGAATGTTCAAGCAGTCTGAGGAGACTAATATGATTTGGTTCTCCAATAATCCGTTTGAGGATGATGCCATGTATCAATTAATTGGTGAGAATGTATTTTATGTATTTCTAGCTCTATCCGCAACTTAGGCTTGTATTTTTGTAATAAATTGTGATGGAATGATGCTCCCGCTTGCGCTAACAGTATACGCTGGCGGTGCATCGGTGGAAGATAAAATGAGAATGAAGTCAGGTCAGTTAGCCTATTGGGACAAACTTACCAGGAGTTTACCACGATGGTTTTCAGAGGATACGGCGTGAAGAGCAACCTGACATGATACAACAATATCAATGGTGGCACCATTGATAGCCCTAATTAATAAATTTCATTCCAACTTTATATTTTGTATTTGTTATTGCTTATATCATGTATTACATTGCCTTCTTGTCGTGGACAATATGTGTGTAGGGATATATATTATAATGTTTTTTATATATTACATTTTTTTACTAGGTTCAATATACGGCCTAGCTATATACAATTCGATAATAATTTACGTGCCATTTCCGCTGGTGCTATATAAAAAAATATTGAAAGAGTCCACCATGTTAGATGACTTAACAGACTTGTATCCAACACTCGCTAACAGTCTGAAGAGCTTATTGGATTATCCTGATAATGATGTTGAGGAGGTTCGTATATACAATATTTTTATTCGTATATAAAGATCTTTATATCCATGATGCTTGGGTTGTTTCGCGGTGTAGCATAGTATTAATATTATTTAAAACGTTGAGGATTAGATTTTTTCTCTCTTTGTGCGTTTGAGCGCGTCAGAAACGGCTAAATCTATATGGGGTGAGCTTTTCACTAATGTAGTTGTAGTAAGTACAGTTTAAGGGTTGTTTTATTGTAATTGGTGAAGGAAACAAAAAGTTGCAGAACTGAGGTTATAACTTTATATGCATACGTTATGTAAACTATCTCCTAATTAGGATGCTTTTGTCTACTTTGATATTACAGGAAGAAAACTATTCTAACTATTCAAAATCTTAGATTTTTGGCTGCTCATTTGCTCATGCTCAACTTTTATTTCTATATTGTATTATTATCTCTTATGAAGCTTATTTAGAATGTGTACTTATGTTTATTTTGTATCTATTTGTAGGTATTCAGCTTATGCTTCGCTGTGAACACCGAAGTGTTCGGCCAAATCCAAATACACCCTCTGAAAGAAGACGGTGAAAACATACCGGTCACACACGAGAATAAAGAGGAATATGTGGAGTTATATGTGGACTTCCTGCTCAATAAATCTGTACTTAATCAATTCAAAGCCTTTTATCTAGGTTTCCAGAAGGTAATAATTACTTATTTTAATAATTGTTTTCTCATTTCAAATACCTTTATAATTGTGCATTATTATTGATACCTTTGAAAAGAGTGTGCTACTTTTGGAACTGACATTAGAAAGTGTCTGTAATGGACCTCCATGAATGAAGATATTTACATTTGATTTGATCATGAAATAGATATAGGTACATATAGTGCGAATGTGGAACGCATATACACATTATTCATAACAAAGTAAAGAATTCGGTATAAAAGTACGTAATTATAGACCGAAATATCGGGAACTAAAAATAAAAATTTCGCCTTTCAGACGACTTACATAGTGTATTTCGGTAATTAGTATATATAGAGAAACAGTACATGAAACATTATGCTTTCAATGGACAATATATTCGATAACAAACTGCTATTGTATTCCAGGTATGTGGTGGCAGTATAATAAAATTGTTCAGATCTCACGAACTTATGTCGGTAGTAATTGGCAATGAAGAATACGACTGGGATCTGTTTGAAAGTAACTGCGAATACAAAAACGGATATTTTTCTAACGACCAGCAAATTAAGTAAGTTTCTACTTTCTAACGGACTTCTTTCTGGTGGTTAGTGATTAAATTAATTTAATAAGCACTCTATGAGACCAGAAGTGCTGGTTGATAGTTGATTTTGTTACTCATATCAAGTGTAATTATTACATGCAGAATTTGAATAATTTGGGGCCATTAGGTGTCTAAAAATACTCACTTTTTTACAAACATTTCATAAATTGATTTTGTAATACTAAAATTATAAATTTCTCAACTGCTTTATGGCACCAGATGGTTTTGGGAGGTGTTCCATGAGCTGGCGATTGAAGACAAGAAAAAGTTCCTATTGTTTCTAACTGGCAGTGACCGCGTTCCTATACAGGGGATGCGTGATATCAAAGTGAGTTGGATGATTAACTATTTAAGTGTTACTAGATACTTCTATACATTGCAAACTAGCCGTTAACCAGATAAATTTAAAATTGTAAACATCGCCTATAGGCTTAAGCAATATTGTTAATAGAATGAACTGTCTCGGTTTATCTATCAAGTATTCGCGAGTGGTAAGGTTATTATAGCAAACAAGTATAACAGCTTAGCGCCGTATACAATAACGACAAAATGGACAAAACAGCGTCACAGCGCCATCTAATCCCAAGCTAACAAGAGCATTTGTTATTGTAACTAGATAACTGATAGAAATGCTTAGATATTTTTTTGTACATACCTAATACTACTTATGTACTAATATCCATAGATAACACCCAATTTAACATGAACAGTCATACTCAATACAAAATACAAATGTTTGTGTTAAGTGAACAATGGAACTTGACCGAAAACGATCGAACTACTAGACCACTCAGGCCTTTAATAATATGAACGTGGAACATACTTTTGTACAAATAAAAATCTTTATTGTATCGAATTTAATTAAATGTATTTTTTAAATTATAACGCTTTAAAATTTTATTGTGACTTGGTTACATCGATTTTTTTTTCAGATAAGAATCCAACCTGTAGCAGACGACAGGTACTTTCCTGTAGCCCACACATGCTTCAATTTATTAGATTTGCCCAGGTACAAAACAAAAGAAAGGCTCAAATATTATTTATTACAAGCTATACAGCAAACACAGGGTTTCTCACTAGTCTGAATCACGTATCGTGTTATCAAAACAAATTATGGAAGTATTTCGACTGTCTATACAATCCACTTGCATTTTGGACGTATATCCGCCCAATACAAAGACTGAAACCATTCTAAGTGACGGACTGACTTTTTGCGCACTGGTTTTGTTCATCTCTGAAGCTCATTTTTTAGAATTTAGTATAAATTGATAACAATAATGTGTGATTCTAAATAATTGTGATATAACCTAATAATTGCTAATTTTACTCTTATTTAAGCCATTGGTAGGTAAATTTATCTGAATATATTTTAAATCGTATATTCTCAAGTAAACGCAATTTAACTCTTTTGTAATTTATATTCATTGTTTGGCGCTATGTGTATTACAATATTTAGTACACCAATTTTTATACATTTAAATAAGTATTAAACGATGTGTTGGTAATTGGCATTGATATAACTGCAAATATCAGTCTATTTAATAGATTCCTTATTTTCTTTGAAAGAAAAATAAAAATGTATTGGATATTGTTTAAATTTGTAATGAATATTGGCTTTAATATATATCTTAATCATATATTGTTTTGTGTAATGGTGATTATTAGCAAATATTCAATATTTAATTATTTGTATATTTTGAAATGCTAATAGTAACATAAAATACTGATTACTTGATGAAATAGATTTACTAATACTTATGATAATTTTTAAAGAAATATAACATTGCACTTTGTCAATATTTGGTGTGTTTCTGTAACGGGTTATTAAATAACAAGTGGATTAACACGTATAGACTATACGCATTGGCTTATTATTATATTGTTGTATTACGAATCTTTGGTAATAATCTCGTATTTGTTGGTTACGAGGAACAAAAATTATATTAGTCCACACTATACAAAAAATAACTTATAATATTTATTTGTAATATAATTTTGTTATAATAACCATTAGATAGTGATAACAATATTTTCTCTCAGTTTTTTCTATTGTTTGACCGACTTAGTACCTTGTTCAATTATATTAGGACTGAACATTAATTTAATTCCTAGTACCTATTAACTTTATGGCTACAATGGAAAATAAGCTAAATGGAAGTGAATAAAGGAAACATGATTTCTTAGCACCTATTACTGATCTCTCTATTTTCTTTAAACTGATTGAAATATTTTTATGTACATACTAAATTCAGTAACAATCATTAGTAGTCATTAATTCACTGATATTACTTGGGTATCTTTAATTATATGGTACACTAATAGGCATATCAACCTTGTTAAAATTTCTTCTGTGTTGCATTAACGAATTCTGTTAGTGCCTTATCCATTTATTTGAGAAAATTTTATAATATGTAACATTAAACTGATTGTTTTATTATCCTCACACACTGATGGAATTGTGTGTGTTTGTAGAAAATCTCGACAGGCTACGTACACATAATTTTGTATATAATATTAATACTTTGTGATATTAACCGTTATTATGAGTAATAATGTATGCTTTTTATAGTCGAAACTGATTTTAACGGCCCGATTCTTCACAGTGTTTTCAATGACCTAAATGTAATAATGGGCCATGAAATGGTGACCGTGACTTTTTAAAGTTAAATTTGAATAAAGTTAGTATTGTTTGAAACCTAAATAGAAATTTTGGCTAGCGTGTTATTTCATCTGATAAATTACTTATGTTGTTAATATGTTTTCTTTAATGTGAAACTGTTAAAGATTTCATCATTGTTAAGTTTCAAATTGTTTTATTATTCGCTTAGTTAATTTAAAATAACGGCGTTGTGATTTCGTTTACTGGAAATAAGCATAATGATAATGTTATTAAGTGATTTAGTACCGACCTAATCTTGCCCTTTTCTAAAGAACTAGTATATTATTAATTTTAAACGGTTATAACAAATTAATATAATTATGTTTTATGTCAACTGTAAAATTTGTGACTATCAGTTCAATATATAAAGTGGTATTAAATTGTGTCACGTAGATTTACTTTGTGTTGAATCGGGTTTAATATTATAGAATTTGTTTGCCTATCGGTTCTCATTTTAGGCATTTGTTAAAATATCACTTGAAAATTATTACTTAATTGTGATATTTGTATGTATAAGTGTATAACGATGAATACGTAGATGTAAGGGAGCTAGTCCCATAAAATACTTGTTTCTGTGTATTATGATAAAAAACGGTTTGTAGCTATGCTAGGTCACTGTTGTCGTTTCCTAAATTATTTTGAGTGCACCGCCAGCTGTAAGGCTGCTGCACGTATATGTATTGTATGACATTAATATATTTTTTATATAAAATTTGCGTTTTCTTGTTAATTACTATCACTTGTTTAGAACTGAAGAGGTCATCCATAAGTTAGGTCACATGTATTGCATGATTTTTTTTATCCCTCCCCCATCGTTGTCACATTTGTGTGCCTCTCCTCTCCTTAGTGTGACGACACAGGTTTTGAAATTTGAACTATTAAATTTTGGTATTTTACTTAGATATATTGAATTCGGATTTGTGACGTCACCAAATAAATATATATGTATTTAGTATCCCCTCCAGAGGAACACATTAAATATTTAAAACTTTAGCCGTATCAAATCGCGGCTGAAGTAGTTAATATCATAATAAAAAAATAGATAATAAACACAATAGAGAAACAAATAACATTAATAAAAAAAAAATAGGACGAGGGAGGGTCTTTGTTGCACAATGACAACCCCTTTTCTCCTTGACGTGTGACGTAATTAAAGGATGGCCTTATTACTTCAGAGACACTAATATAATTGTATAATCAATATATCTTAAAGACATTTAATTATCATATAAATAATAAAAACAAGTTATGTTATTGTTTCGTAACAAATAAAACGAATGGTGTGGTATTTATAAAATTTATTTTATTAAAGTATATATAATCACATAATACCAAAATGAAACCCATTTCAACATTTTATATACAAAATAATTTCTGTAATCTCTTCATGACTAGTTATTTTTAAGCATGGCCGATTTTATTGCAATAAAGATATTGAACCGTATTAATAATAATATTGCTGATTATTACTGTTATGTTTGTCAAGCCCTTATATATTTTAATTACCTTATATAAATTTTTATGCTTCTTTAAACAATTTATTTACAGTTGGGATTAGAAAAGCTGTTTAGGTATAATAATTATACGCAATACCGCATACGTTCGCAATGTATAAAGCCGCACATTTACATCGTTTTTTTTTAAAGTGTTATATAAAAGAAAATATCAAATAGAGAAATATAGCAAATGTGAAATATCATAGATCGTATTTAAAGTAATTTTCACACAAATTTATTACTATTTTTTTTATTTTTTTATTATTTAATTCTTACATCCTAAATAGTGGTTAACAATAAATTATACTTAATATTAAATATCGGATCATAATCCAATTTCGTACATGCAAACAAGACTTTAATACCTAAAGCCAATACAAGTACTTAAATTTGAAGAACTACCCTATACTGGTATTCAAGATCAATCGAGTAATGGTTTTAATGACAATGATACGGAAGAAGAAAGTCGTAATGAGGCTTCTGTCAACTTTAGCCATTTAAGAGTCAGTAATTAGTGATATAATAAGTTTGTACAAGAATTTCATCAGCTTAGCAGTTGGATTGAAACTAATAATAATAATAATAATAATAATAATAATAATAATACTTTATTTGCCAAATGTAGGTAAACAATAAGGTGTTATAAATATGTTGTTGAGATCCGTACATTAACCTCGTAAGAGGTGTGCAAAATTTCAAATTGTAGGTACAATTAATGTTTAAGGAAATAAAATTACTGTACTATCATCATACCGATAGTCATTAATCAATTGTCTTTACGTAATGTAACAGTCAGAAATCACCAACCGTGTAGTAAGTTTTACCAATCAGTATATTTCTAAGAGCAGTTTTAAATTGATGGATACTACCAATAGATTTTAATGCCCTTGGAAGATTATTATATATTCTAGGTCCCATTCCTAAAATACTATTACACGACATAGCAGTTTTAGCCGGAAAATTACACAATTTATCATTATTACGTATTCCTTTGATGTTATTAAAAAGTTCAAGGTTCGTCTTAATAAAAATAGACACCTCATAAATGTAAAGGGATGGAGCCGTAAGTTTGTATTTTTTAAAATATGGAACACAACTATCAGTATTTTTTAAATTACACATACACATTTTTTTTGTGCTTTAAATACTAGATCCTTACCCGTAGCGTTACCCCAAAAATTATACCGTATCTCAAAGTTGATGAGACGTACGCATGGTAAGCACTTACATATAGAGCAAATGAAAATCGATTTAAGTCTTTACAAATTTTTTCGATTTGATACTTCCATTTTAATTTATCGTCAATATAAATACCCAAAAATATCAATGTTAAGTATTTTATGTCCTAAATAGTTAATGTTCATTGTAGCAAATTGAATTAAATGTCATCATATTTGTTTTAGTCAGATTAATTTTTAAATTATGTCTTTGTAACCAATTATACATTTTGTAGAGTTATTTATTTCTTTTTCATTTATAATTGGTTAGGAAATTTGTGTAGATATTAAAATACATGTACATATCATGTAATTTTGCTCGCTTGTTGCTGACCTATATTTGTAAAAAATTTAAATAACTTAAGTTTTAACCATAATTTATTGTACTATTTTTAACATCAGCGACATATGATTGTCCTGTTACAAAATCACTACTTCAATATCTTTGTCTCAGTTGTTAGGCATATTGGTACTGACTCTTGTAAAGGTAACATAATGAAAATATGAATTCAAGAATTATGTAACATCATTGAGTATTAGGACATCATGGTGAATATTTTTTACGAGGGTGACATAATGCTAATTTTCTATGTTAGTAAGAAGATCGACCGGTAAGGTCTTCATAATGTTGTGTGCCAGGAGGCGCCCGGTAACCAGGGTAGTTGTTGTTGAGGGCGTGTTGAGCGAAGAAGGTTGAGTAATCCTTATTTACCTGTAACATAAGATTCATTATCTCGTACGCCTTTCAATTTGCATATAATTTTAGTTTTTGGATATTACAAAACGTTTTTGTTTTACATTCATGCAGACTTTCTACATCGCAAAGCTTTGTAGATAGAAAGATATGGATGTCTTCGAGTATATATTTTAGTCGATTAAATGATTTGATGTACGTCGATAGGCAACTTAGCTGACTATTCACTAATCAGTACAGTAAATGTGCTTAAATTTTTTTACAATTTGTTATTACATAATTTACAAAAGTACTATAAAGATTAGAGAATCGAAAGCTTCAACTCATAAAGGAAAATGATGTATTGCTATTACATCTAGTTACCTTCGTTTATTTTCTCTGCTGTAGCTGAGTGAGAGATAAACGTAATGTAAACTAGGGCAGCATACTAAACGTCTTTGCATTTCATGTTTTGAGTCACTTTGTATCTATTATTTTAGTCTCCACCCACACTTTAAACGATTAACAACAAACACGTCCCGGAAAGTTTGTATTGGAAGTGAGCCTGATGTTTTGGATGGCCAACGATTAATAATAGTCTTAAATTACGCATTATTCGATGATGTCGAATTATAAGAACTTTTTGAACAATTAATAAACCTTCTAGTGAGTAACTATGTTTAGTTACTCAGTAGGCTTTAATTTTAATAATAATGTTTATTTATTCGCTTTCACGCAGATACATTGCAACATTCCATCTATCCTTAAAAAATATCTGATATAGAAATTATTAAAAGATATTTGTGACTACAACGAATTGCAAAGACTTATTTTAATGTGTCTTAAAATTTATTACTGATACAACATGAATACAGTTGCTTATCACACAAGAATAGTATAGCGAAGCCTAAACTATACGCGAGTTAGGTGGACGTGACTAAACTATAGTGGATCTCCTCCAACACGTGCCGTAGTCTGTTAATAGAAGAGGCTGTCCAAACAATAGTCACACGCTCCGGCGACACTTACAACTTAGGTATTAAAGTCCAGCTATGTACAGTACAGTAGGTACTGAGGTCGAACGACGCTTAGACCTCGTTCATGGCAATTAAATCAGCAAGCGAGTATTGACGCAGCTAAAACAGATAATGGTTGCGTTCAAATTTTCGCTTACTCCATAAATTTTAATATAATAGTCTCCCTTGTTCATTCTTTCCTTGTGATCTCATTGGAGTTTTTAATAGCGAGAATTATGTCACGCTATAATTCTGTACATATTTTTGTATAATTTATAATATATGTACGTATAAATTTAGTTCGAGTTAAAATTAAATATACATTAAAATATATTTTTATTAAAGAATAAAATGCAATTACTGTAATTAAAATTATAAAAAGCTTATGGATATAAAATGTTAAATAACTTTTTTATAAGGTTCAAAATCAGGTATTATTATATATATACAAGGGCAGGAGGCAAGTATGTAAATCACAAAATTATATTTATGTACAGCATGCAGTATTACAAAGTTATCAGATTTGAATTACGATATAGGTGTCGCCACTAGAGTTGAAAACGAATATATAGAAATACATTTTTCAGGACTTTTAGATTATAATTTAAACTTAAAAAAGAGCTATAGGATTGTTTTCTTATACTTTGTTGTTCACCGTGTCACATTATAGGTACTAATAAAGGTAATAATAGTAAACAATCCACTCCTTTTTGTCCCTAGTAGGTATGTCGTAAGAGAGGGATAGGAACACACAGCACCACACGGCTGCTGGAGAAAGTAACTTCGAAATAAAACCAAAGTTGCTAGCCAGTCTGATATAATAGTAATAAGGTAACATAACTTGTTTTATGGTGACCCGTTTTCAGATATGAAATTTTTTGCTACGATTATTTTCTCAAAGAAAATATATAGGTACTAATTTGTGCAATTGGAATTTTTGTTACCCATATTTCAATAATATAGGTAATATTGATATTTTATATTCGTTTCAACGACCGTTGCAAAAACAATTGGAGTTTAAAAAAAATCTTTAATGTTATGTGGAGTATGTGCGATTAATTGAATGCTATGTAGTAAATGAAATTGCAGCATATTTACCTTGCGCGGTCTGCAGGCGGGACCTTTGGCTAGTAGCCTTCTAGCCTCATTTTCAGCAGCGACCGCTTCTTTCACCGACTGCGGTGGCCATTTTTGATCACCCCGCATGTTTACACCTCCTGTTTTATTTTACATAAATGAATATAACACATTGGAATGCAAAAGAACCATCGAAATCGTCGAGGTTTGGTCAAGATCACACTAATATAAAAAGACAAGATACACAGGTACATTCTAAAGTTGTTAAATTAATAAACATAGGTAAACCTACTCTGCACGTTTATGAAGATAGGAAGGTAAGGTTTATAACTCTACATTTACTTGGGTTATGGAGAAAAAATGCCTAATGTGCAAAAATCTAGGTAAACTTATATAGATACGATAGTAGTTTTACACATATCAATTACGTGTGTTCCTTGTAAAAAGCTTTCAAGTTTCTTCCGTAGTCTATAAAGAATTTGAACGACTTGCCACCTGCGTTATGAAAGCTTTTATGTGTCGCGAGCCACTTTTGTAAGGTCATATTGCGAAATGCTTATAAAAAAGCAGTTTTAAAAACAATACACCTGCAATCTTGGCGTACAGTATACTTTGTGTATGTACGACCCGACGGCAGCTAGTTGGTAGATAAAAGTATTTTATAACAGTTAATATTGCGGGTTTAAAACAGCTAAGTCTAAACATTGTTTTGTACCAACCAATATCCTTGTCTTTGCTTTATAGGCTCATGTTTATTACGACATGAATCGAATTATTATATTCATCGTCTTCATATACCTAATGTTTAATAAACTGTATATAGACTGTATACGTATTTGCAGTACGCCTGTTTGAATGAAATAGCTGGACGGAACTTAATGAAATTGAATGTGAAGATAGATATCACAAAGACGGATCTAACCAATCATTTATCTAAAAAAAAAGAACAAAGTCGCAGTCTAAAGATTTAAAAGTAGTGAAAGATAGTCTGGGAGTGCGTCCTACTCTCTTCTAATAAGTTAACGGTATACCTTTGAATGAAGCCGCAGCTGGTTGACTAGCAAACACGGGCGGTGGTTGTTGATGAATTGGGGTTTGCTGGCGAAGAGTGATCGTCGATGGTGGAGGCTCGTAGACCTTCTGTGGTGGCTGATAAGCAGGTTCGGAATATTGCTGCGGCGAATACTGGGACTGCGGTTGTGGTGAATATTGCGGCTGCGGTGAATACTGAGGCTGGGGCGAGTATTGTTGCTGATAGTTCGGCTGCGATCCTTGCGTCTGCCGAGATAATTTTATTTGAGTACATACACGATTTTAATGTAACAACAAAGAAAACAATTAGACACAGAAATGTTACAATAATAAAAAACAAATGTAATTATGAATAATTCACTTTACTCGTTGAGTCATTATGTTATGAAATTAATAGCGATAGAGGATACAGCATGATAGACTTAGCTATTGTTAATAAGAGCAGTGCTATAGATTTCAGTTTTTCTACGTAGATACCTACAAACAGCGACAGCGTGCGGTGATTATTAGTACGAGTATGTTTGTATTTGCATCTATATTATTTAAACGGTTATTACATAATCATTACATACAATCATATGTCTATCTATAAAATTAGTAAATATATTTCAAGTTACTTTTAAATTATTCTCAAATATTATGAATCATATATAGATATATTGTAAGATAGTATAATAACCGCTATGACGCATTAAATTACACAAACATGAACACAAAGACCATCGGCGACGATGACGTTGCAATATCGAGTCGATGAAGACCTGTACCTGAGGAGAAAGAGGGGCTGGTGCGGGGGTCCAGCGGCTGCTTGGCTGGCGGTAGGTTTGCGCGGCACCTGGCGACTGCGGCCCTTGGCGATAGGGAGGGGACACTGGGGATGCGGTGACACCCGGTCCGACTGGGATTAGTTTACTGAGCCCTGTGGCGGCTTGGCGTTTACCCTCACAATACGCCGGCTGAGATTGAGGTTGGTACTGAGACTGTGGAGACTGGTATTGATTCTGGGGTTGAGATTGGTATTGGCTTTGGTATTGTGGTTGAGGTTGTGGTGGGGAATATTGTGGCTGTTGCTGGTATTGGGGTTGTTGCTGGTATTGGGGTTGTTGCTGGTATTGAGGTTGTTGCTGGTATTGTGGTTGTTGTTGGTATTGGGGTTGTTGCTGGTATTGGGGCTGTTGTTGCACGGAGGGTGATTGCGGCGCGTTGTTGTACGCAGGACTCTGCTGTTGGGGTTCATAATATAGCTTATATATAATAGATACAGAATGTAATATTTTATAGCATATTGCATGCAATTATTGTGCTTTTCCGCCATCTTTAAGCGCTTGCTATGTGCAGCAATGTAATGTGCATTTACCAGTTTTATATACACTGCGAGTGTCTACTTATAACTTTCATATTTTTTAAAAGTAATGTTTTTTGTATTTACCTGTTGCGGCTGATGATAGCCGTTCGTTTCGGGCACTGGTGGCCACACTACTTTCTTCTGGCCTGTAACAAAGATAATTTCAGTTCACATTATGCAGCTAATTACGTACAAAATTCTATAATAATTGTAAGTAGTTAATTCCCGTAACATGTAAACTACCTCTTATTTTATACATAGTATGTGCTTTATATTTAAGTCAATATTCTTCTAGAAGTAATAAATAATATAAATTGTAACTGTAACTCTCATATTACAGCAAAGCTGTTTATAAAGTAGAATGTATCTATAATTTATAGTATGCCTGCCAAATTTTACGTTTTTTGAAGATAGAATCAGACTAGGTATCTATATGTTTTCTTATCGTTGATATAAAGCACTTATATGATACAAGTACCTATATTTCGTTTTAAAATTGCTCGGGCTGAAGTCGCTGGACAAACGCCAGGACATTGGAGAAAAATATTCCTCCGTTGCTAATAACCTTAATTTACGACACTGCTATTGTTACCTATTATTATAGAGTTGTGAAATATAAAACATGTTAGTACGTATATTATTTAATTTTATAATTTCGTTAATATGTATATTATTGTATATTATAAATTTAGCTATTCTATTGTCTGTAATATGAAGCGTTATTGTACGCACGTAAGTAGGTCACTAGATTGTTAATAAATTGCAATCACAGTATTAGCTATAGGTATATTCTTATGTCAAGAATTTAAAACTATTTTTTAACTGTAATTTAATTTTATACTTATAAATAGTTTCAGTCATCGGTTTTGACCAACAGTTGCCACTAACAAATTGAAAAAATATGGTTTAAATATCTCATAAAAGTATCTATGTTATGTTGACTCATGATAATAATAAAAGCTCACGACTATTCACACAGTGCTATCTAGGTATATATCTAGGTCCATAGGTAGTAGTACTTAGATTATCCATTGTATAATACAAGATTTGCTTAATAGCGTATTTTGTACTGTGAGTAAATTAAATACCTGATAAAAAGGTATTTACCTCTCTCGACGTTTCGACTAGGTTGCACTAGCCGTGGTCACTTAAATGCATTTTTATTTTTAATAAATATATATATACATTATAAACAATAGACATCATTTTAAACAGTCTTGTAAACACACGATACCTGCAATCGTAATCAAATACAAATGTTTGTACCGTGTGAGAACCCGCGACCATCGCAAGTAAGGCGGTGTACTATTGAGGTCGTCATTGTTATATTAAAATATTGATCTTTATACTAGGCACTTATTATCTATGTAAATTTATTCTATAAATACTTGATATATGTATATACTCGTGGTATTGTGACAAAAATGATATGTATAAGTGTCAACATAATGTGTGAATACATACCTACATATATTTATGAGACAATCTAAGAAAATGTACGTCAGACATATGGCAAAATATTCAAATTTTAATACAGTTTTACTAGAGTTAGATTTAGTAAAAAGTCGTCTGAGTGGTTAACTTCGTCTAAGTAAGCACTTGCGGATAGAGAACACACACCTAAATACTGAAACACCTTTTTTGTGTCAACTGTTTCGGCAGTAAAAATCTAGATAAAAATCTGGATGCAGAATCATAAAAATCTTTATTCAAATTAACTTAATATAAGCACTTTTGAATAGTCATATTTTTACTCTTATTCGGAGTGCAGTCTCATTACAAGAAGCACGAGAAGAAACAACCATGACATCTTAGATTCATCCATGCATTATATTCATGTAATGAATACACTCATAACATCTTAGTCCTCCAGAATGATGATGATGACATGATGTCGGTGGCGTTCTTCACGTATATTGACGATGGTTACCACTTACCACTAGGTGGAGCATCTGTTTGTTTGCCATGCCTTGTTGTTTTTAGTTGTAGGTACATATTATTATGAAGAGCAGAGTTATTTTTATAGATATTCACTACTATTAGCAAATTACGAAATAGTTGTAAAGAATAGCATTTTACTATTAATACAGCTATAATAAGCGAACAAGGCGTAATGCCTCGTCAGGACTTATGTATGTTACATCTAGACTCTAGTTATAGTTGATTTCAGAAAGCAAGGTATGCAATTAAAATTTTGTTCATTTGTAACTCCTGTGTAAATAGGTATAGTCGACCTCATAAGTAATAATTTCGGATTGCGGACTGTTGTCAACGTATATTTGAAATAGTTATATGCTGGCAACAAAGTTACAAATATATTCAAATTATTGTAAACAACTAACAAATTATATATGACATTGAAGGCGATGAAGTATTCGACTTCAATGTCATAGATTATATAGCAAAAATAAATACTTAGAGTATCTTCTGTAAAATTATTATCGAAAACTTTTAGGGGGTAACAATAATATGGGCATTCTGATAACCTTCTCTCTCAAATTAACCTTACGAATATTTAATATTTAATTTCTTATCCTTATAATAATATAAATATTTCGGCGCATTCAGACGTTTCATTCATGTTATAATTAAACATTACGAGTGACAATACGATAACAATTATCCCTGTATAGCTGAGTATCCTAGTAAGTATGATATATATATATATAAAACACTTTCATAGAAGTGACTTATATAAATGTAAAGACATAGGTATAATCTGTGATGCCCATATTAATCACTAAAATTTATTTCATCAGAGTTTATTAGACATTAATAATTTAATAATGTAAGTAGGTAACAAATTTAATTAGCTATATAAGTATTGGATACTTCAGTTATCAGTCAAGCGTAGATATATGTACTCCCACGTTGAATGAATCTTAATTCATTACAGGACTAATTATAAATTAATAAAAGAGACATTGAGCACACGGGCCACAGTTATATTCAAGTTAACATAAACTTTCGTTATCATGTCAAAACATTTCATGATAAGTAGGCAAGTACATATATTTGTTGATTATTCTAAAATGAGCCATCGATTTTTCTTGCGAATTGTTTTGTAACTTCAAAATTTGTAAATGTCAAATAAACTTACTTTCGTATAAATAAGCGTAGGTTGACTAGCATTTAGAAATAATGGCATTTCTTAGTTCTCCTCACAAAGTTGAAAATCACTGATCTAGTCTACGACCATATTGTCATGTCACGTATTTAGAACGCAATCTTAATTACTTATTTTAAATGGATATAAACAGAGTATGAAAATAAATTGAGACTCACGAACAAGACGATTAATTTGGACGATGATCAAGCCCCGCCAACCGACTGCCGGACAGGACAACGTTTGACTACTTGGCTTGCTGGCCAGGTGTGTAGGTGCACAAATATCTACCGCATATTATATTTGGAGATCCCACATTTTTAGGACACCACAGCCCGTCTCTCTCTAGCAAATTATTCTGCACGTTGAAAGATCGGGAGAGATTATCACACCTCACACGAAGTGGGTTCCAGTTGAATTTGCCTTGTCACCTGTCAATGCTATGAGGTGATGTCTAGCCTAAATACCTAGTATCCATTATTAATAGCTGGTAGGATAAATCGTAATGTTAGGGATATTATTAATATAATAATGTGAACTCAGGTCTCAAGTTCTTTCCATACAAATGGGGCTCACATCCACTAGGCCATGATGCTCTAAAAATGAAACGAATAAGAATTCAAGATATGAACAGTAAATTGAAATTCGTATCAAAGTAAGATCGGAAAGCAATTTACGTAAATAATTTAATGGAAGAAGACCTTAGGTTCGGTAAAGGAAAATAAATATCGCTTCACAATAGTAAATTATTGAGAATCAAATGAAGAACACAAAAAATATGATAAGTAAAAATTAATATTATAGAACAATACAACTACCTAGATGAAATTCTGTTGAGTTTGTAGCTGTAGCTACTTGAAATGTTTTTTAATAGGTACTTAGTACAATTTATTTTTTATTATTATCGAAATATTGTACTTTCAATAAAAATACACATACCTATCAAATTATATATAATAATACGCTTAGTAGAAAAAATAGACCATGGATCTTAAACACATTGTGGGTACAATAGTTCGATAATATAAAAAAATAAATCGTACCAAGAACCTATTAAAAATAATTCAAGTAGCTACATGATCTGTTACCAAACTCTACCTAGAGTAGGTGTATTTTCAAAACCAGGTAATAATAAAACTTGGCACACGAGGGCAAATATCAAGGGTTTTGATTATAATATTATAACCACATCTTTCACGCATAGTTTTGTAGTCACGCTGGGATTACCCATGGTATTCGCCACACAATCTCATTATATCACATAGGCTTTTGACATACCTACATAAATTGCAAATCACAAATACATATAAATATATTATAGGACATAGCACTTTAATTAGTTACAATTTATTTCTGTGGTTGCGTCTTTCATTGCTTGTACAACAACAGCGAGGCAAGCAAAACTAAGAAAAAAATATTTGTAATTTAATTAAAAAATATTGTTAATTACCCATACTTGCTGATGACTCATGAAATTTCTGTACCATGACTTCAATGTCAAAAGCAACAGTAACAAATGACATCTTCTGAATGCTTTTACTTTAAGAAAAAAAAAGGAAAATATGAGTAAAAATATCAAAATACACTCATTTGTCATTTGCATCTTTTCGACGAGTCTAATTTTAATCATTGATTCACAGCGTGTAAACGAGCGTCGGCTGCGGACTCATCAGAAATAGTTCCAGGTTACGTCAAACGTGAACCGTTTTTGTTATTTTTGAGAGACACCTACAGATCAAGGCCGGAATCAAGTGAAAATGCAATAAAAATTGTAAGCTACTTTCAGCCAATTTGTTTTCTAAGTGGCGTAAAATTCACAAGAGTAATTCAAAAGAGAAGGTCAAAACTTATTTTCTACAAAAAACCGTGAGACATATTTATGGAACCAACAACAACAATCTATGTGTGCAATTGCAATTTCTGATAGATATAATATAATGTAACACTAAAAAATTTATAGAATTGATTAATCTACCTTTACCATCTCTACCTCTACCTTTTACCAGTCGATTGAAAGTATGTAGGTAAATATATGTAGAGGTACCGACATGAATTAGTATGCCAACAGACTTCACTGGAAGTTTTGTTTTATGCAAAATAAAAAAAATGTTTTGAATGAATTTTCACATAATTACATAGTGATATGTAATGATTGCTCATAAATGTAATTAAACCCTCCACTTACCTGCATTTCGGCATAAGTAGAAATGACTTTGTATGAATATTATTTGATTTCAAGTCCCTACTAATATAAAATTATGTAAATCAGTAATTAAATGTTACAACATTATATCAATTAATAAATTATACGAGTACCCACTTGTATATTCTCAAGAACCAACATTCAAGTACCTTATTTACTGCGATTCGATTCAGAAATTAGATATACAATTATTATATTTGTATAATGTTTATATCATATATAAGATAGTATAATCAGATAGAATATTATTAATAGTACAACTGGAGAACAAAGCACGTCCTACTACCTACGTCGTCGTAATAGTGTAAGAAAAATATAATCGAAATAAAATTCTATCAATACACTTTTACGCCATAGTATGCTAGTATCATCTTATTATGGTAACCTATGTAGTAAAATATTAATTGATTGTTATTACATGAAAACAATCACCAACAAAAAAAAATATCTTTTTCTATTGAATTCAGGTAATTTACCTATCTAACATTAATCTTACGAATGGTTTTTGTAATAGCAGACTTGAGTAATTTTAATAAAGTTCTATTTTAATGCGCACGTTGCGTTAATCACATTAATTAGCACAAATGATTTAACGAACACATTACCAACAAACACAGTTTCAGGCATGTCGTTCGTTTGTATTCCTTCGGTGTCGGTGGTGAACTACGTATAACAATACAAGATACAGGCACATTTTGTAAGACAAGTTCCAGTTCTTGCCAAATTCTTTCCACTAATGAACAATCTCTGTCATCGGTGGGCGGGATCTTGCTTCGACTAAGGAAAGATCAGGCAAGACTTTTCCCGAACAAATTTAAAACATCGGCCATTAAACCCTAAGCAAAAATAAACATATTCATTCATTAACCTATTCGAGTGGCGACGTAGTATGTAATTTGTCGTGACTCCTTTTAGTCTACGAATTTTGTAAGAGGTAATGGAGAGAAACAAGCATAAATATATAGAAAGAGTACTCGAAATCAAACCCTGTATATACCAAACTGACTGGCCGGCGTAATATATACAGGTAGCACCAATACGGTTGTGAATATTCATTAACATTGGTTTGTTGATGAAAAATTATTATATTTGTACTTAATAGTAATATAGTTTTTTAAACACTATGGGGACAAACATCCTTACAGCTCATTTATTAACGTAAGATTACCGTAGCTTAGAAACCCCTGAGAAACCAGAGGTATCATTATTTAATATAGGTATCTACTATTTTTTATCTATATCGAAGAACAGCAAATAACTCATCTAAATGTTTCGGTTACTACTACAGATTAAATGTTATAAGTACAGCCAACAACGTTAATTACAAGTGCAATGTAAGACAAATAAAGGCTCTAATAGATTGACTAGAGTTAAGCTTTACTGTGATAAAATGTCAAACCCATGTTTGAAGACACGAACTATCTATATTCTAAGTTCCGGACGCGTTGTCCACTCGTCCCTTTGAGGGATCTACTTTAGTCAATAGAAGAGATCTTTTCACTGAGTTTCAAGATATAACTCAGGGACCTTCGAAAGATATAGAGATAAAGTGACAAAAACGTGCGTAGCTTGTACAAATATATTAAATATTATATGTATGTAAATGTCGATACAGCCTATTTTTATGTTTGAAATATTCACTTGAATAAAAACGCCCTTTTAGTGTTTCGATTTGCGTAATCTGCGATACGTACATTGTTATTTTGCTAATAATTATGTTCATGAGCATGTTACGAATGACAACAGTACACATAAAGCGCTCTAATATTCTCTACCAGGCTTCGCTGGTACCTTTAGTGGCCTTCAATAACTCTGAATAAACATTGCCTGTTGCGTTGAGCTGGCCGTCCCAACTGCGAGCTGATCTCATCTTCGAATGGTCAGGCGGCCAGTAGCTGTCAAATCGGTGGTCAGCATGAACCAAGGTGTCCAATATCGCCTGCACTTGACTTGGGTCTAACTCTGGCGAAGCAGTGCAATATTTTAGTGGCGTTAGTAAGCAGTTTATAATAATGCTGAAGAACCAAAGCCTCCGCCTGTCATTTATACGCACTACCACTTTACTTTGATATACTATAGGATTGTCAAATTATATTATACAATATTAAATTTACTATAACTTCACACATTAATAGGTAGTATTAAATTATTTAAATTAATTAATTTAAGAATAACAATGTGATTATTGGTAAATTAAGGTAGTATAAAGTGTTGTTTAATATCACGCATTAATAGGTAGGTAGAATTACAGGTAAGATAATATGATGTATTACACAATCAAATATTTATTTTGTTTTATTTAAAAAAAATATCGTCTTCGTTTAAAAATTTTAAAAAATGTGGAATAGTAACTTACTGGGATATCCTCTGCGATTGCGTTCTTCTTCCTCTAACATGCGCAGAACTGCCGAGTTGGCGAGGTTAGCCGGCTTGTCCGTGGCCGGGTTGCTGAAGTCGATGCTGTGACAATAAATTCAAAATTCAAACGGAGATCGAAATTACGACAGTCTGAGCCGAGGTTCGAACTCCTAGTGATGCCCTTAGAATAAAGTTGACCTTCAGCCATAATTTCTCCGCAGGTTTGGAGTGCCATCTGCACTCGCCCCCTGTCGTCCGATAAAGCTGTAAAGGCCAACTGCGGCCAACAGCATTAGAGTAGTCGGAAAAAAAATGATAATCACTACATCCCTTTATACAATTAAGATTGTTTGACAGTTCTTAAACCAACTTAAAGTTATATTAAATTTTGCATTTTATGTAACAATCAAGGTTGGAAATGTAGTAAATGAAATATTTGTTTCCTGTATCGATTTTATCGATAAAGGCATGTGGTATGCCATTGGAACGTTTGTGATTCTATTGTTAAATAACATTAGAAAGTTCGATTTAACCTATGACACGACCATAAGTGACAACACAAAGGCAATGTAAATACAATGTGGAGGCGATTTAAATAATCATTCGGATAAAATATTTATTCGAACACTCAATGTAGGTATCTACATATTAGTATGTACAACTCGCAGTTACGATAAACCCGTATGTAGATATACTTTTGAATTATTGACATGGGTCTATAGGTTTAGTACGCTGCCTTATACGTCCGATGCTCGTTGTTTCTATTCCCACACAATGCAAATATTTGTCTTAATTTATATAACTGGTCTACGTACTTTTCTAAATACGTCAATTTCGGTATTTACAAAAATTGTACTCACTTTGTAATTTAATGGTGCTATGAGCGTTATAAATTATTTTCTAGTTATTATTTGATAGCATTTGCATATTTATATTGATATAAGGTAATATTTTTCTGTATATCTATGTAGACACATAGATATACAGAAAAATATTACAACAGACAGTCAGACGACTGTCTGTTGTTCACTTTTCAGTAAACGGCTGAATAAATCTTAATAAATTTGTCTTGACAATATATTCGGATAAACATAGGCTATCTCTTATCTCAGACCAAGCTGAGGAAGCAGCCACTTTTACTACATCATTGTTAAAGAAAAGTAAAAATTAAGTGTACGATAGATACAGAAGTAGTAATTACTTTAATTAAGTTGTCATGCTATTAGACATCCTATATGCAATTTCACGCATTGCTGATTTGTCTGCAGTACGTGCATACATTCTAGACCATTAATTATACCATGATTCATATCTTGGCTGTGTAAATGTATGACCAACCGGTTATTTTTGTTTTAGGGTTCAGCTTTTCTTATATGTGTGTTCTGAGCGCCGAGTGACTGTATATTTTTATTTTTACAACAAGTGTCTCATAATATATCGTTTCTATTTGTTTTAATTCTCAATTATGTTGATTTTATTATTGGTTTTTGCATTAGTAACCTACTACTAATACTAATGCCTACTAAATCAATATATATATTATTTTAGAAATCATCAATATATAAAGCCTAGCCTAGACTAAGAGTGAATAATTTTTTTATTAACACATTTTACGATTAATTAATTCAAGGATAAGTAGGTACCTTATTGTTAGTATTATAATTAATATTAGTTTATTACGTTGTTACATGCTAGAAATATATAAGTACATATAAGTTATAATTATAAAATTTATTAATAACAAACTAATAAAACATAAAAAGAAAATTTTAAATATGTTTCGGAATCTTTAAGGGTAACTCATTAAGTGGGTATAATTTACATCTATAGGTAGAATATCTAGATAGTTTCAGATATCGATCTAACTGGTAATAATACGTGTTGTACCTATTGTATAAATAATATTGTAACGATCCTTCTGAATTAAATAAAGATTATTTTTTTTTTTCCAAATAATCTCATCTCCCCTCTTAAGGAGAGGAGATGGCAACATACCCCCGGCAGAAACACAGTCGGCCGGGGTTCAGGGCCCCAGGGAGAGAAACCGGCGTACAATGCGGGCAGAATCTAACAGCACCGCTTTCTGCATCTTTCCCGGGAGTGAGCCGCCCCGGAATCCCAACCGTCTGAGATGTTGTTCCAGACTGGTTGGGATAAGACCGTTCACCGACATAACGATTGGAATGATTTCGGTGGACATCATCCCCCACATTTCGGTCACCTCGTGAGCCAGGTCGAAATATTTTCTCTTTTTCTCAGTTTCGGCTTTAACGAGGTTCTCGTCATGCGGCATTGTGATGTCCACCAAAAACGTGAAAATGCCCGATCCATCACCACGATATCCTCACGGTCCTGTCCGTGATGATGGATCGGTCCCGGTAGAGCTTGACACTGTCGCTTTCGAGGACCGGCTGGGGCTCGTACTTATAGTACGGCAACCTCTCATTCGCAAGGCCGTACTTCAGAGCTAGTTCTTGATGGAGTATTTTGGCTACCTGGTTGTGTCTGTGCAAGTACTCAGTGTTGGCAAGAGCTGAACAACCCGAAAGCACATGTCTGAGTGACTCTCCGGGATGGCGACATGCCCGACAGATGTCCTCAGTGCCATCCTTCAGAATGTACTTTCGGTAATTGTTCGTCTTAACCATCTGATCCTGTATTGCACAGACAAAACCCTCGGTCTCTCCGAAGAGATCACCGAACTGTAGCCAGTGCACGGAGGTCTTCGTGTTGACGTACGGCCCGTGAAGGGCTTTGAAGAAGCTTCCGTGCAACTCCTTCTCTTTCCATACGGCCTCCCGCTGAGAGGTACCCAGGACTTCGGGTTTTCGCCAGTCCTCTTTAGCCAGAGAAAGAGGGGTGAATCCTTTGTCACATTCTATGACCTCTCTATGCAAACCCTCGTCTCTTTTCTCCAGAAAATATGTCCTGAGGCTGTCAATCTCGCGGTTGTGCATGGTCTTAACGCTTAACAAGCCTCGACCACCAGCCTTCCGCGGGATGTACAGCCTCATGACTGACGATTTCGGGTGACTGACGATTTCATTCTATGGAGGGTCATAGTTGTGCGGACTTTCCGATCCAGGGCTTCGAGTTCGGTTTGAGACCATCTGAGCACGCCAAAAGTGTAAAGGATGAAGGGTTGATTATATGTTTTTATTGGACCCGACAAGGAACTTTTCAGTACTCTTGTAAGGCGCGCAAAAAATTCCCACAGACTTCAGTTTGATGATGACGAGCTCAACATTATATTCCATTTTCCTCTGCACATGGAGAATATTCCATTCAACATTTCTTTTTATATAAACTAAAAAATATGCTATGAGATAATAAATCAAGTCATAGATATTATGTAATATTATTTTATCTGTGATATTACTATCAGATTTTGATGACATAATTAAGTATATTATCTTAGATAACGTTCCGTATTCTGAACCTCCTTAGTCTAAGCAGGTTTTTATTACCGCCTTACTGGAAATAAAAAGGCCACAAATAAAAACACGTGGCCACTTAAATTTCTAAAATAAAATAAGAACTGGAATAAAAAGGACGCTCCGTATTATTATTAACTATATATAACCAGAAAATTATTGGTCAAATTATTACAATATAATTGTTTTTATAAAAAATATACACTCTTGAGCACGTGGCCACTAAACTGTACTACACATCGGGACGTTCCTGAGCAAAGATGAGTACTCGTAAGTTTGGTGTTACATTGTTTACTTTGGGGTGTTCGGAGAGTGGAAGACGTCCTTCCAGGTCGAAATCGTATTTCTGCTTCTTTTTCCATTCATTATTTTCTTTCCTAATATTACAGTCTACACTCTATTTTATATATTACTTTATAAGGATTCGTAATTCAACAGATACCTAATACAATTTAATTCAAACAAAGTAAGGTTCATTGTAGTATATTTTTACTATGTTTAATATATATTAGGGGAATCATACTATTCACTCTTTGTTTGCTCTTATTCTGTTTATCCATATATTTTTTCAGTAGGATTTCCAATCCTAAATCATTTTGCCTCGCACGAAAAAGTAGAAAACAAAAATAACCTGCACACTATTTGACTCGTCAATCTTGTACATATATCGATGCACGACATGAAAAATTTATTCATAAATTTTAGTTGGTCGAATTCTCGAATAATTTTGCGTTGATATTCTCGAATCAAGGTCGAAAATCAAGTACCTGTAAGAGGTTTTTCGTACAGTTGGCATATTTACCATTCAACCGTGATAATCTTGATATTTAACTCATATGAATTCAACTGGATCAGTTCTTAAATCTGTTCGAATTAGTATTATCACCTACTTTCCCTAGCTTTCTCTATTCTTACTAAATGAATTTCTAAAGACGTTCAAAAACTCATATAAAAACGATAACTACATTCGCTTAAGACAGAAAATCCGTGGGAAAGAAATACGCTTCTAGTAAGAGAGTGGTGTGTGAGATCTGATTGTTTACTTGCAGATTTTATTTATTCATTTGATACGTTTTTTTCTAAAGTCAGAGGTATCGAGACATGTATTGAATTAACTTTATAATTATTTATAATTACTTTGAACTCCTGCCTTTACCATTTCATTTCCCAGAATAGTAAAAATTCATGCCAGTAAGAAACATTTACATTCATATTTTCTCAACTTTTTACCAAAAGTACCGTTTAGCCAAAACTGATATTATAAATTAATATTTTCAAAAAATATAATCATTTTAAAAATTCTTTAATTTATTAGAAACTTTAGTTACTACTTAATTAAAGCCCCATATTACTATATGGGAGTTTATTTTAATGAAAAAAAAATCAACGCATACGAATTGTGGGCGGCTCACTAAGAGATAAAAGAAAAATATTTTCTTGGTTGTCCAAGCAATGAGTTTAGAATTTGCTACATATTAATCTTTTTCATAAATATGTTGATGACATATAACATCAGGTACGAGTATGTAGGAGTAGCAATATTTGGTTAACATTATTTTACTTAATATCTCCCTCACATAGTCACATAGCGAATTCATGAATGAAATTATTACTTCATTCAATACACAAGAAGGTAGGCATTACTTTAAATGATAATATGGTTCTAACAAATATCTATGAATGTTGATAACACATTATAGTAATTTTGTTTTTTAAATTACTTATTATTGTCACTTTGGTCACAAATAAGACTGCTAAAAATATTTATTCTAAATGGCATATTGATTGGAGTCATCAGTTTAGTTTAGTTTATTTTGTAGTACGCAAGTCATAAGCTATGGTTAGTACCATTATGTAATATTATCATACGATAATATTGTGGTACCATTTTCTTAAAGCCACGAACGAGTTCATATGTTTATAATTACTTATGAAAAATACTAAAAAGAATATTAAAATACAATTATCAACTTAAAAAATACAAAAAATTGGTATATACTTTCTTTTTGCGAGTTGACAACAATTTCGCAGTTGTTAAGTATTCATTATATTTATTAGGTATATTGTCAGAGTCTGTTGTAGTCTTTCATTTTAGTAATTGCATAGACATGAGTATGTCATTGTTTTATAAATACACAGAACAAAGGACTTCTTGGACTAACAATGTTGTGTAAATAGATGAATGTAGAGCAATGTAGTACTGTATTCTGTATACCTACATCTCAGCCATTGCAAGCGAACTTATTTTTTTAATCTGGCTTTATGTGTGGCGAGATACTGAATGCGGCCAAGGAATTGAAAGTTTTTGCTTAATTATTAACTTTTACTTTCCATTGCTGTCATGAATTAATTTAAAAAATATATTAAGCCTTTTGTTAAAAGTAAACCACGACAACCCTTTTTTTATTTGTTATATTTGTATCTATCTGTATAAATAAAAGATTTTCTATATACCAAGTCTTTATACACTCTAAAAACAATATGAAAACGTATTTTTTTATAACTTTAAAGATTTATTTCTTACGTAGAGTTTATATATTTTTACTGCATCCATCACAAATTAAAAGTTTTGCCATGTCATCTCTTGTTAACTCGTTTGTATCGTTTTTATTATTATGACAACACCATACGAAGGCAGGTTCTGTTCATGGCCGGTTAGTAATATATGTCTTAACCACGTTTTTTATAAATAAAAGGATCAGTTCAAAACTTAATAGTATAACATGAACTATTTGAGATTTTCAAACACAATGAATAAAGTACGGTTCACAAATTCGAAACAATTCAAATTACATAATCAAACTCCGATCTAGCGGTTTAGCACACCGTCTAACTTCCGAAGATCGCGGGTGCGATTCCTCGCACGATACAATATTACAAACACTTGTATTCATGAGCATGATTGCTTATGTTGTATCGGTCTGGGTGTTTTCTATGTACATACATAGTTAGATGTACAAAAAAGTATTTATTTCTATCAGATGTCTAGTAATCATAACACAAGCTCTGCTTAACTTAGACTAGAGTTGTGTGAATTGTTCTAGGTTATTACTAAAAATATACAATATATACATATGTATGTAGGCCGAGTAACGTAACATTATAGGAGGCGCTATTCTGCTCATGTACCTTTCATCAATATTTTGCTGCCTTTTATGGGTATACGCTCACCTCGATATACCTTTATTGGCAAGATTAGGTGTCAGTGTTACTTAAGTACGGGTAAGTATTAGACAGACAGTAATAGATATATTTGCTAACATACAATTATCAATTTAATGTACCGAGGTTTGTAAAAAGTTATTTACCTCAGTCTCATCTATTTCCGTCGCCATGTTGCTTTTTAATCTGTGTTTTGGTTGAATGGTGAGATAAGACAGTAAAATTACAGGATACGAGTCATGATAGACATGTTAGTCCTCCGGTGTTACTACCTACATGGCATCAGGATGACTTTAGGTCATTTGCCATTTCAGTTTTCATATTTAATAGACACATACAAAAGGTACATGCCTTTAAACATATTCCCGAAATTAAATACCATCACTTATATACACATATTAATATATTTTCAAGCTACATAGCCTTATATCGATCTTTCAATAAATTTTGATATATTGACATATTTGTTTTAGTTTGTAGTATATTGGATGTACATTGGACGGCATACGTTTATTGGATGTACATTGGACAAACCCAACAAACGAGCTAATATCTAAACAATTTTATATTTTATTTGCTAATAATTTTAAGGAGAATATAATAATTTATTGAGCCTTTAATTTCCCTTAGGTAATACAATTATTAATAGCCGGTCTTTATCAATTACATATAATCGGAACTTATTTTTTAGCTATTATTAATATTATTACAAATCTTACCTATTAATCTCTACGGCAGTAGACATCATGTAAACACAGATAAAAAAGACTTCTTACGACAACAGGGTATATATGTAATCTATACAATTCACTTTTTTTTAATACTTGTACATTTAAAGAGACGACTGTAGTATAGCTTTTATGCTAAAACGTTGCCTTGAATCTGAATATCTTCTCAGTATTTGTGTTTATTTTAATGCAATGTAATCGTGATCAATAATTATTATTGATCTATTTGAATCAGCAAATAGAAATAGTAAAAAAAATGTTTTGTCACAGATAGAAAAAATATCTAAATTTAAATACAGACGATAGGTTAGAAAATGTTAGATTTTGAAAATAGAAACCGCGAAATGCAACACATGCGCAGTGTTGTACGCCGGTGCGCTGCGTCGCGACTGGCGGACACGTGCGCTCCTTCTTCCTCATTTGTTTAACTGTTTATTTTTCATTTTCATCAGCGAAAGGTCAATTATTGTTATCATAATGTCAATAATAATAACATGAAACACCAATTTTATAATTATAAGTAATCTTTTTGACTATTTTGTCGTGTATATATTGCATAATACCTACATTTTATACCTAATTTATTCATAGCAATGTGTTCCTAGTTATTTATCCAATATCCAAGGTTATAAGGGATATGTTATGTAAGAATTTCAAATATTGTTAGATCATTAAATATTGTTTTTTGTTGGAAAATAATAGTACATTTTTTTACACAAAAATATTCGGTTGTACGCACTCATATTTATACGGACTATGGTCACGTGTTATTTATACTTAGTTGCTTATTTAGACACGGAAATGTGTTATTCAATGTTGTGTTGGGCGGTAACCGTGGGCATACAACAATGTTGTGTGGGTATGCACCATCGGTTTTTCACTTACTATGGGGCAGATTGATGCACAAAAATTCAAAGCCTTTTTTAATATACTAAAACATCACATTTCAACTTTTTTTTTGCCGTGTGCATTGGTCAACAATTCAGGTTTATGTTTTGGTACGAAATACCCGCTTAATTATATTAGATATAACGATATATTGATTTCAGTAAAAAAACAGTTTTGCATCATTCTGCCCCACCTACGGGGCACTTTGATACACGCATTGAGGCACTTTGATACAGAGTGGAAATTGTATGAATCTGGTTTAAATAATAACACTTTCATGTAAAATAATACATTTATTGTGAAATAATTAATTTACAATCAGTTTTACATTTTAACAAAAAAAAAAACACTTGTTTCTTAACAAAACTAATACTTCAGAATATCACCATTATTCAAAACAGGATCGCTAAACAAAAAACAAATTATACTTGACTCGTTTATTAAAAAATAAATATAATAATCTAATAGGTTAACATAAATTCTAAAACTAAACTTTTCAACACGATTTTGTAGAGTTCCAGTTAGATATTTGTCATCTGCTTTCCGTATGGATAATCTCGTTGAAATAACTTTAGATACGGCCCACTTGATCGAGTCTTCACCTGTACTACGTCTTTCAGTATTTGGTTTATATGTTCGCACCATTTTCTGAAAATACAATACAATTTTTTTACAAAATTAACACTTTATTGAAGTCACGGGGAACATTGATACGTATCATTGTGCCCCGTACTTTCCTGTATCAAACTTCCCCAAAAATAATTTTTATAAAAAGCAGGTTTCACTAAAGATACTAAGTTAATTATTGTAAAACACGTGCAAAGTCCTTAATATTTGATGCCCTTTACCTTTGGGATACATTGATCATCACAAGATGGCTCAGCAGATCGTAAAAACACTTTTAAATCTCACGTATTTTTTTAGTTACCCGCGCTCGAAACATTTTCTCTCCTGCTAAAAGCCACCGGTTGACTGGCTGTTAGCGTAATCACAACGGTTTCAGAAGTTTAAAGACGTGTTTCAGAGTTGTCACTATCGAATACATTTAATCGTTTACGAAATAATACACGTGTATCAATGTGTCCCAATCTGCCCCACTTCCCCCTAACATTCAATATTTTATACAGCACATAGTCATTAGAAAAAACCAGTCTATCATAATGAACACAGATAATAACTGGACTTAATTTAAACATATTTACAGGTACTATATTAATTTTTTATTGAGTATTTCCTATTCATTGTATTATAGTACTATAATTACTCTACATTCTTTTTTTTAGTTAACATTATTTATCCATATAAGACTGTTTTCCCGCATAGGCACTACAGAATTTTTTATTACTATTTATCATCGTGTTCGGCTATAACTGCTTCAATTAAAAACATATCACTATACGTACGTACGTCAAGCTTTTTTTTTATATAAAGGTAGGGCCTTAAGCTTTGATTTTACCATGCGCCTCTGAGGTGAATGTTTGTTCAGTACTTAGATGGTAGAGTTATGTCTTTGCTAGCAGCTACGACATGAACCATTCAACAACGAAAGTGCAGATAATAATACTATTTAATAATTTTATATAGACTTCAAGCACCTATTTTATAGGATAACATACATAGATGTTATATAAATGCATATTAATAGTATGCTTATACTTCACTTTCGTTGTTGGATGGTTTATGCGGTACTTATAGTTCTCTCGAATAAGGGAAACAATAAATCGATACATTAATATAATATAAAATTGTGTTAATATATAGAGCATAAAATACCTTATATAAGAATAGCTACCTTTTATAAGAATAGGCCTCATGAGAATTGAACCAAATTTGAACCTATGTAACGACCTGTAAAGATTCTTAAGAAGAAAAGTTTGTACAGATTCACACAAAAATTATTTTGTTATAATAAAATCATTTATGCAGATTAATGAATATATATATTGTTGATACAAGCGTTATATTTGGTTCTACACATATATACTTTTTTAAATTTAACATAGCCATTATTTATACATAAAATTAAGATAATCTCGGGATCTTACTTATTATTATGGAATTCTCGATATTTCAGCAGTATTACATTTAACCACCATGATCACGGGTAAACTATGATAATATAATAATAAATAAAACGTCGAAAAATCGTGTTTTCTTAATTTTACGTACCTATATATTATAGAACAAATAGTTTTCTATGTGGCCAATAAAATACCTCAGAGTCCACAATAACAAATAAGAAAATTACGAGTATTTTTATTAAAAAGTTCACACATACGTCACAGGGCCCTGCTTACTCGACAGCTGACGAAGCCACCCGTAGGGACGAATGAACCGTATAAATCACTAATCCATGGGTTACTTCAGGAAAAATTCGTATTAATACCAACGACTATTGTAGCAACTCTGCAGTTTCTTAGCCACGCGTAGATTTTTCGCGCGTTTTTCAATGTAGGTATAGGAATTTTTGTTTTAACATATATGGTTATATTTATACAAGTGTTTACTTTTGTTATAATCGATTATACGCCGTTTCTTTTATACGGTCGTAATTAATTTTAATAAATACATACACGCTTACTACGATTTGATAAATATACCTACTTACCATACATATACAAGGCAATGGGGATGTGGGTAAATTTTTTAAACAAAAGATGCAGTTATTGTTCCGTATATACCTATCTATAATATTTTACTGCAAATACTTTAAAGATCTTAACAGTAAATCGATTGCCGTCTTTTATTTGTAATTAAAGTTTTTTAATTACTAAAGAGAGTTTACTCTATTCATAAGTAACATAAGTACATCTGATATCTTTTAACGTATACATACTACATGAGTTTATTTCTTTTGCGCGAAGACGAAACCCATATGTACCAGATAGATATGCGGAGTATAATTATTTGAATATGGAATTTAAACGTTACTTTGGTGGTTCGCATTCGTGTGGAATGCAGCCGGTGTTGGCGCCATGCTAAATTTCATCCACGTAAATGTCAGTGCCCCTCAGTGCGATCCGTGTCTGCTCCATAATTGATCGGTCAACGGCATTCAAAAACGGCTCAGTATTTATCTTGGGATGCATTTCATTGAAGAAAATACTATCTATTACCACTAATAGTAAATTTTATTGAATAAATTAGGAGAGAATGATTTTTTATTATCATCAGCCAATTAGTTTCCATACCGGGCATAAAATACTTTAACATTAAATTTAGGTCGCACATCGATCTGCGCTTATATTAAATATGTATGCAATACAAATTAAGTAAGTAATAAACATATTAAAAGTAATAAAAAAATATGCATGGAAAAGAAAATATTTTTAGAATTTATTGAATATTCATTATATTTTTAGGAGAATATATTTTAGCTATAGCGTATATAGTGTATATAACACGTACAACATGACAAATTACCTTCAAACCAGATATAGATCCGCGATGTTAGTTACAGCAGGTTCATTGATAAAATTGATGGCGATTACATCTGACAATCTAATTTTGGATCTCATTTATGTGAAGTATTTCGGTTAACATCCCTGAGCTCTAGAGAAGTCATTGATTAATTTGACTATTTACGTAACACAATTTCTTATTTTAACACCGATTTTAGAGTTGGCCTGTATTGTATTTTCCTCATAACAAAATCTGCTCTCTGCTTTTATAATAGTATTTATTTCTGGTGTGAGCAACTTCTTGTACATTTGTATGTAGAATGTCACCTATTTTGGTAATCAAACGACAACAATAAAGATAGCGTCTACAAGACGTCATCTACCTATAGTATTTGAATAATTAATTAATTATATCATAAATGACCTAATCGATGTCCTATCCTGTCCTTGTCTACTTTATGCAGATGACCTTAAGATATTTTCTACGGTGGACAATAGTACTGACGCTCAGAGATTGCAATCGGATTTAAATTCACTTTCCGATTGGTGTGATCGTAATTTCATGCAGCTCAATGTGGGTAAATGTTTCGTTATAACTTTTACTAAAAAAACAAATAAACTCGAATTTGACTATATCCTTAGGGATAAAATTCTTGAACGTAATCGTGTCGCAAAAGATCTGGGCGTGCTTTTTGATGACAAACTAACATTTCGAGACCACTATGATAATATTGTTGACCGTAGCTACCGTCTTCTTGGGTTCATTACAAGATCAACTAAAAACTTTCGGCAGAGTAGAAGCTTAATTATATCTATAACTCACTCGTACGTAGTATTTTAGAATATAACTCGGCTATCTGGTATAGACTACATAGCAACCGAATTGAAAGTATTCAAAGACGTTATTTAAATACTTAGCTATAGATGCGGCTTAGGTCGTAAACTTGCATACAGTGAACGTCTGAAATACTTTAATCTGGACCCTTTATATATAAGACGACAAAATAATGACCTAACCTTGTTACATAAAATTATTCATCATCAGTTGGACTCGTCCACTCTTCTTTCTCTATTAAACTTTAATACGAGATTTAGATCAC